GCAAGCCGTGGACCCAAACGCCGTGCCGCCGCCGCCGCAGGCAGCACCCCTGCGACGGCGGCGGCAGCAAGCCGTGGACCCAAACGCCGTGCCGCCGAGTCCCGTGGCTGTGGCCGTGGGCTTCTGGCAGGAAACTACGGCCGCAACTCGGCAGCACGGGGGCGTCGCAGCGTGCCCCCGCCGCCGCCGCGCTGCCCCCCGGGCACGGCGGCGGCGGCAGCAAGCTTGGGCCCAAACGCCGTGCCGCCGAGTCCCGTGGCTGCGACCGTAGACCGTGGGCCGGAAACTGCGGCCGCAGCTCGGCGGCACGTGGTTCTGTTCAAATCGCCAAGCGTGCAGCAGCGCCGAACCACGCTTCCCGGCCTCGGCGCATGCCTTCAGGGGCCCCCTATCGCTGGGCACACCCCTCCAACACCGAACATGCGCCCGGGGGGGAGGGCGGCCCGGGCTGCCCAGGCCAAAGTGGGCCGCCCTCGAGCAAGAGGCGGCCGGTCTGTGTGCTGAATGAATGAATGGATGCGTACTACTGCAACGGCGGCGAGATCGAGAGGTGCGTCACCAATTGCAAAAGCCTCAACCACTCTCACCCTTCTCGGGTGCCTTGAACGTCAGTAGCTCAGCGGGCAGCACCATGAGCAGCACGCCGCCGCCGAAGATTGACAGCACGAATAGGTTGTACACGAGGGGATTGGCGGCCCATCGTTTGAGCGGGCCTGCCAGGCCTCGCCGCGAGGCAGGAGTCGCCATGGCTGTTGCGGGAGCAATGCGCAGCTAACGAACTGATAGGACAATTACACAAGCTACACAGGCGCTGTGTTTTGTGGTCCTTGCACTGCCTGCTCCAGCAAAACCTGTGCCTGCAAGTTGCCGCAGTTGCCGATCGTTTGCGCAGCTGCGCTTTTGCTAGAACACTTGCCATTGCAAAGGCTGTTCAACCCAATCCGATGGTTCGGCCGCTGGCCGCAGCTCTTCGGCAAGTCGCTCCATGTTGGGCGCCGCCTGCGGGGGCGCCGACGAGGCTGTGCCAGCGAGGTGGCCAAGGCTGGACGAGACACCGTGGAATACTCTGCGAGAGCTCTCCCAGATGTGTCAGGTCTCTTTATTTAGAACATGGGCTGAACAACCCGTCTGGCCAATAAATTAGAATGCAATCACTGTGGCGCGCCGCCTGCCTGGTACTGGCCCCCGCCGAGACGCCTCGCGCCTGCCTGAAAATCGCCTATCACCAGTCCTGATCCCACGACGAGTCACGCTGCACCTGGCGCTGCTGCTGCTGCTGGCCCGTGCCCCAGCTGTCGTCGGAGGCAGGCGGGCGGGAGGGCATGGGTGCATACTTTGTGTGCTGCGCCATCTCCAGCCCTCCAGCGCCGCCGCCGTGGCGCGCCGCAGCCTGCCGCCTGCGGCGCCAATACCAGAATGCCGCGGCACCAGCCACCGCCGCACCCAGCACCACCAGCGCTGTCTGGCCAGGGATAAAGCTTCCAAAAGCGGCGCTGCAGCGGCGGGCAGGGGGTGCAACGGTGGGGCACGGTCGCCGCTCAGCAAGGGGCTCCCCGTGCATGCGTAGGCGGCTCAGCACAGTGCAGCTATGGCTGAGCTGCGGCTGAGTCACACGACGGCAACACAGCAGCGGCGCACCTGGCTTCCTGCTGCTCCTTCACCACCGCCGACTCCACATCCTCGTCCTCGGCAGCCTGGGTGCCTGCTGCCTTCTCCTGCTGCTCCTCCCCCTCCTGCTGCTGCTTCTCCGTGGCTGCTGCCTTCTCCTGGCCGCCGGTCGCCGCAGCATCTGCCTCGTCCTCCCCTCCCTCGAGACCCTCCTGCTCTGCCTCGGGCTTGGAGTCTGGCCCAGATGCACCCTCGCCAAAGGCCTCCTCCTCAGGTGGCGGCGGTGTCGGTGTGCCGCTCTCAACATCGCCCGCCAGCTCTGATGCCTCCTCCCCCTTGCTGCTGCTGCCTGATGCCTTGGTTGCCTTTTCCCCCTCCTCCTTCCCATGCTGGTGCTTCGCAGCTGGAGCAGGAGCAGGCGCCGCCTCGCCGCTCTGCTCCTTCACACCTGCCTTGCCGCCGCCTTGCTTGCCGCTGCTCTCCTCTTCCCCTGCTGCGGGTGCTGGGGCGGCAGCTGGAACGGCTGCTTTGCTGCCCGCCTTCTTCTCGTCTGCCTTGGCGCCAGTCTTCTTAGTCTTCCCTGTCTCCTTCTCTTCCTCCGGGGCCTGCCAAGGAGCAGGCCCAGGAGCCGGCGCGACTGCCGTCGCTGCTGCTTTGCTGCCTGTCTTCTTCGGGGTGTATGGCTTGGTGCCCTTGTTCTTCTTGGCGGGTGCCTCCTCTGCCTCCTCCTCCTCCCGGCTGCTGGGCAAAGGTGCAGAAGCTGCTGTGGGGCTGCCCTCCTCCTCCTCCTCCTCCTCCTCCTCCTCTTCTGCCTCTGCCTCGGCAGGTTTGCTGGTTTTGGAGCTGGCCTTGCTGCCCTTGCTTTTGCTGGAGCCACCTCCTTCTGCTGCTGGAGCCTCTGCCTCCTTGTCTGACGCTGCCATCTCCTCCTTGCCTGCACCAGCAGGCGGCAGGCACACCAGCAGGCACACTCAATCAGCGTGGCACAGCAGCCCGCTGCCTGCAGAACAAGCCAGCCATTGGCCCAGCTGGGTGGCATGGGGTGCCTCCATGCAGTGTCTGCCCAGCCGCGCAGCCCACTTGCAACAATCCCTGCACATGTGCAACAGTAGCGGCATGGCTGCCAGCCAGCTGCGATGTGCAAGCCAGGAGCTTCCAGCCAGCTCACCCACCCTCTTTGCCCTTGGCGGGTGCCTTGCCGGCAGCGGCGGTGGCGTTGGCGGCAGCCTTTGTGCTCACGCCGGTGGAGGATGCTGCTGTTGCTGAGCCCTTCTTCTCTTCCGCCTCCTCCTCCTTCGGTTCCTGCCCATAGTCACCGTAGTCATAATCCTCCTCTGCAGGCCGGACAGGAGAGGAGGCAGGCAGGAGAGCACACAACAACAGGCAGGCTGATTGTGAGCCAACGTGCATGCAACCGCAGCGAGCTAGCTGAAGGGGGGCGGCTGCAAGCATGGATCTAGAGTAGGCTGTGTGCAATTCGACCATCACCTCCCGCTGCCTGGACAAGCACCTGTCTCCTTGTCACCGCTGTTGCTGCTGTCCTCGTCGGCGGGCGTGGGCGGCACTGGCACCTTCTTCTCCTCGCCCTCGTCGCTGGCAGCGGCGCCCTTTCCGGCCGCCTTGGCGCTGTCCTCGCTGTCCTCCTTCTCGTCAGTCTCTTCAGGTCCCTCCTTTCCCTTGGTGCCAGCGCCTTGCTTGGCGTCGGTGCTAGCGCTGCTGGCTTTTTGCGTCGCACCAAGCAGGCTGGCCTCCTCCTCCTCGGCTGCTGCCAGTGTGGCGGCATCCGTGCCAACCTCCTCCTCGCCAACGCCCTTGGTGGCTGCTGGGGGCGAGACTTCATCGCCACCAACGGTATCTTCATCCCACTCGTCTCCTGCAAGCAAAACGCGCACGTTCAGCACAGGGAGTTGCCGCAATTCAGTGCGGCAGGCGGCGGCACCCGGCATATGTGGTGGCAGGGGCTCCAGGCGCCCCCTCTATTGCCACTATGCTGCGCGGCTGGGGCGCTCCTGGCCGGTGCCCAGCTCCGCTGCTGCGAGGCAGGGGAGGGCCAGGTGGCCCTTTAACATGCGCACCTTGATGCAGCCGGCGGGCCGCTGCTGTCCCCACAGCCATCAGATACAGCAGGAACAGCGCGGTCGCGGTTGATCGGCGCATGGCTGGCTGCCGCCCAGCCAGCGCAAAGAGCAGTGCTTGCAGGGCACGGGAGACCCCCAATTAGGGTACTTGGGATGGCCGGATGGCGATGAATGCGCATCTGGCGCGAATGACGCAGCATTCGCGGCAAAATGCTGCGTGGCCTGGGTACAGAGAAAGCACGCCGCAGGATAGCATGCATCATCCGCAGCAGCAAGCGCAGTGCGTTCGATTACCCGGCTGTGCACGACAAGCAATGAGCGACGCCGAGTACTCTGAGGAGGAGACAGCACCGGCACCTCTGGAGGATGTTGTGATGGCGCCCTCAAAGAGCAGCGCAGCCCCCGTCGCCTCATCCAGCGGCGGCTCCGGCGTGATTATTGGAGTGGGACTCGCGGCGGCCGTGGCTGTCGCGGGCGCGGCGGCCTACCTTGTGCTGGGCAAGAGCAAACCTAAGCAGGGCAGCGGGGCAGCCCGCAGCAGCAACAGCAGCAGCCCCGCGAAGAAGCGTGTGTCGCCCGCCAAGAAGTCGGTGCAGCGCCGCCCGCCGCCAGCCAGCCCCCCTGCCGCCGCCTCCGCTGAGGCCTCCACCTCCGCTGCCGCCGCTGCTGCCAGGCAAGTTCACAGCCCCTGCCTTTTTGCGATGCACCAACAGCGTCGAGGCAGGGGCGAGGAATCAGGGCCCATGCCTCCCGTCTGCCCCTCCGGCGGAAGCTTGGATTCGGCACCATGCACCGCTGCACCGCCTGCTGCTCCACCGCCTGCATTGCTGCTGCTGAAGCTGCAGTGTGGCGGTCAGCATGCCGCTGCAGCCATTTCACTCGTGCTGCCACTCCCGTTCTCTGCAGTGTTGCCCCCATGGCCCAGGCAGCCACGCCCGCGCCGCAGCGCTCGGCCGCCCCCGTGTTGCCCAAGTGTCCTGTCCCCAAGGCCAAGCCCGCGGCACCAGCACCAGCGCCGGCTGCTCAAGCGGAGGCTGCCGCTGCCGCTGCTGCTGCTGCAGCAGCAGGAAATGCGGCAGCTGAGGCTGAGGCTGCCAAGCAGGCGGCTGCACAGCAGAAGGCAGCTGCCGAGGCAGCAGCCAAGGAGCAGGCGGCTGCTGAGGCAGCAGCAAAGGAGAAGGCGGCTGCCGAGGTAGCAGCAAAGGAGAAGGCGGCAGCGGCAGCGGCAGCGGCAGCGGCAGCAGCAGCAGTCGCCATGCCCGCGCCAGCTGAGCAGCTGGCTGCAGCGGCCGAGGAGGAGCCGGCTGCTGCGGGCGAGGGCGAGGAGGGGCCGCCCGTCGCCGTGAACGTGTTGCCGACGAGCTCCGAGATCGCCGCGCTGGTGCAGCCGGTGGAGGCCTCGGGCGACGAGGAGGCGGCGGCGGAGGTGCTGGAGCGCCTGGCAGACATGCCCGCCCCGGAGCTGAGCTTTGAGGGGGTGGAGACGGAGGGGGAGATGAATGAGCTGGAGCAGAAGGCGCGGCAGCTCAGCCTGCACGCCCACAAGCTGGTGAAGGAGAACAAGTGAGCGGGCGCGCGGAATGCAGCGCCCCTGCTGGTCCCATTGTTTGGCCGGTTCAACACAGCTGGTTGGAGATGCGGCCCGGCAGACTGCGCGCCTTGGCTGGGACGCTGGCCGGATGGCTGGCGTGCCCCCCTGCCTTGCCCTGGTGCGACCGCCTACGCGCCGCACCGCGCCCCCTCCCGCTGCAGCAACCTGGTGCAGGGCTGCCGCGAGCAGAAGGCGGCGCTGGATCTGCTGCTGCTGCCCGAGAATGCGGGCAAGGCGCGGCCGCACCTGGTGGCGGCCTGCGCCTTTGCGCTGGGGTGCGCCCTCCGTCGCTGCCGCCGCCCCAGCGGGCCGCTCCTCCCATGCGCCGCCCGCGCCGTCGCTGCTGCCGCCGGCGGCGGGGCGCCCTGTCATTTTTGCTGCCTTCCTGACCTTGCTGCGCCGCATGCCCACGCCTCCTCCTTGCCCAACAACCCTGCCCCGCCCCGCCCCGCCTCACTCTCCGCACACCGCCCGCCCGCCCTGGTGTCTGCAGCGACATGCTGCTGGCTCAGCAGAAGGTGGATGAGACCAAGGCTGCCCTGGCCATCGCCTACCGCACCTCGCTGCACATTGAGGACAAGGGGCCGCAGGTGCGGGCGCTGATGAATTACGCGTACGTGCTCAAGGCGGAGAAGAAGCGGGCGTCGGCGCGGGTGGGTGCGGCGCGGGGGGCCTGCTGCGCGTGCCGGGGGGGGGTGGGCGGGGCAGGCGGGGCGGCCAGGGGAGGCAGCATGGGGTCCCACCACGGCAGCCAGCAGCCAGCCGCGCACCTGTGGCATGCCCCCTGGGCCCCCTTGTCACGCATCCCCACAGCCACACCTGGACCCCCACCCCGCCCTCCCCACACAGCCACACCCTTACCCCCACCCACCCACCCACACGCACGCACGCTCTCCCCCTGCAGGCTGCGTACGAGGAGGCCTTGGCTGTGGCGCGCCGCCAGCACGGCCCGCTGCACGGAATGGTGGAGAAGATCAAGTATGAGCTCACCGCCTTCCTTGGGGGCACGCAACGGGAGGTGGGTGGCTGCCCCGCTTTCTCGGGGAGCCAGGCCATGCATGCTAGTGTGGGTGGGTGTGGGTGGGGGGGTGGGGGGCGTGTGGGGGTGGTGTGCAGAGGCCGGCGTGCGCACGTGGCAGCAGGATGAGGGCAGCGCAGGCTCTGGGCGCAGGCTCAGGGCGCATGTGCGTACTGCGGATCCTCCTTCTCCTTGTGGGCTGCCTTCAAGCAGACGGGCTGGGCTCCTGGCTGGCTGCCTGGCTGCTGCAGGCGGAGGCTGCCAACATGCTGGTGGAGTCGGCGGCGGAGCTGCTGGGCGAGGCGGAGCGGCTGGCTGCAGAGGGCGCCGACAAGACGGCGGCTGGCGACAAGGAGGGCGAGGAGGCTGGCGCCGGCAAGGGACCTGCAGCCGCCAACGGCGCAGCTGCCGAGGCCGAGGGCGAGGCTGAGGCTGACCCGGGGAGCGGGCTGGAGCATATCGAGGCAGAGCAGGCGGCTGCGGCGGCGGCTGGGGGCGAGGAGGGCGAGGAGGAGCTGTCCCCGGTGCACAAGGCCCAGAATTATGCCATGCGCAACCTGATGAATGCGGGTGGGTGCCACGCGGGCGCCTGCTGCCGCTGCTAGCTGCTGGCTAGCTGTGGGGAGCGGCGGGCCTTGCACCCCGCGGCGGGGCTGCAGCAGCGGCCGCTGCCGGCCCGACGAGGTGCTGGCATGGCCATGCCAGCCAGCCGCCACACCTGCCGCCGACCTTGCTGCCCGCCGTGTGCCCGCAACCCTGCCCCTGCTCCCCCCGCCCCGCAGCCGGCGTGCTGGACGGGCAGCAGCAGTACGAGCGCAGCGAGGTGCTGCTGGGCAAGGCGCTGGACATTGCGGTGGCGGTGTGGGGTGCCGGCTCCATGCAGCAGCTCAACGTCATGTATGCCCTCGCCCAGCACTTCAGGTGGGTGGCGAGTGGCGGGGTGGCGGCAGGGTGTGGGGAGTGTGTGTGCGCTGGCGGCTGGCAGGTCGCCGCGACGGCAGGATTCAGGGGGCTGCACCGAGGGGCAAAGCCCACCCCTAGCGCCCTCCTCTGCAACCTCGGCCTCGCCCCCACCAGCCGCCGGGCCCCCACCCGGCCTCTCCCCACCCCGCCGCCGCCCGCCGGCCCCCGGTGCGTCCCGCAGGCGGCGCGGCATGGTGCAGGAGTCGATTGATTTCCACGAGAGCGTGCTGGCCATCATGGATGAGTCCATCCAGGTCTACTCGCCCGAGCTGCTGCAGAACCGCATCTCCATCCTCAGGTGCGCGGCACGTGGTGTGCCTTGCTTTCTTTTTTCCTTCCTTGGACCATCAGCTGGCAGGGCCTGCGGCGCCGGCGCCCCTCCGCGGCTTGCAGCGGGGTCGGCCCCACGTGCTGCTGGGTGGGCGGGGCAGGGGTCTCGGCTCAACGGAGGGGAGCATGGGGGATCAGCTGCTGGCTGGCGGTGGATGAGGTGGTCAACTGCTCCCTGTAGGAGGCCAGCCGTGAATGGTGTGCTTTCGGTGGCGGTCGGGGAGAGGCCTCGAAGGGCAGCACCTTCCTTCCCTCCCTCCCGCCCGCACAGCACACCCAGCCCCAGGCCGCAGCTCACGGCGTCGCTGCCTGCCCCCGCAACCCTCCCCACGCCGCCGCTCCCCCACAATCGCAGGGACACGGCGATCCTGCTGGACAAGACGGGGCAGGGCGAGGCGGCGATCGACTACGCCACCGGGGCGCTGGTCAACGCCCAGGTGTGTGTGGGGATTCGGCGGCAGCATTGCTGTTGCAATCACAGCGCCGCCCCTGGCTGGCCGCCCGAGCCGCTGCCAGGCACCGCTGCGCGCTCCCGCAGCTGCTCCCGGCAACCTGCCCTTTGCCCCCTTCCGCGGCTGGCGCGTCCCCGATCCACCCCGCCCCGCCCCGGCCCGCCTCCATGTGTGTGTCTGCTGCAGACGCTGGCCGGCATCATGAGCGGCCAGCAGCGCACCGCCATCCATCCCATCCTGGAGCCCTTCTACCGCCTGCTGGCAGACCTGAAGCAGAAGGTGAGCGTGGGTGTGGCTGGCTGGCTGTGTGTGCGTGTATTGTGTGTGTGTGTGTGTGTGTTTTGGGCGCGTGTCTGGATGGGTCATGTGGAGCAAAGCAGCTGCCCGGGCAGGCGGCACGCGCCGCAGAGCAGGCGGCTCCGCTGCAGCGTCGATGCGGTCGACGCTCCTCTCCCGCCCGTGCGCTGACGCTCCCCTCCTGCCCGGCGGCACTTCTGCAGGTCGGCGACGAGTCTGGGGCGGCCGAGGCGCGGCGCCAGGCCAACGCCTGCCGCCTGAACCAGCGCCTGGCCCAGACCAACAAGCAGCAGCAGCAGCGGACGCAGAAGGGCGGCACCGGCAAGCGCACCAGCAGCACCGGCGCGTCCACGGCACGTGCGGGCGGCCGCCGGGTCTGAGGAGGCCCTCCCCCTCCTGCTGCCACCTCTGCACCTCCCTCGGGGGCTGCCGGGGATGGCGGCAGCAAGCTGTCACACCTGTCCGCACTTCCCTCGTCTCCCTCTTCCCCAGCAGTTCGCAGCAGCTGCTCCTTCCCCTTTTTGTTTCCATGCCACGCACATTTGAGCTGGCCACCCAGCAGGCCCTTGCCCCTAATGCATGCCATTCATTGACCACTCCCCACTCCCGCTTGCTTCTGGCACACATCTGCCACCCTGGCTCTTGTTTGCCTGCCTTGTTGTTATCGAAAGAGAGCAGGCCAGCACAGGTGGGCAGCAGGCAGACGGAAGCTGTGCAAGGGTGCAGCAAGAGCGGGAGAGGAGGGGCGAGCTAAAGAGAGGCACGGAAGCAGCAGGAGCAGAGCAGCAGAGGCGGAGGACAGATAAAGCACGGCGCGGAAGCAAAGAGTGGCAGGCACAGCACGGAGACAGGAGTTGAAGGAGGGATTGCACGCATGACTCTGCTGCGGCCCTGGCATCGCAGCGGGCTACAGGGCACCAATGCGCCCAAGGTGCTGGACAGCCGCATCGCTGTCGGCTGTCACAGGGCGCTGCCGGCCACCGGCGCGTGCACACCGTGGCCAGCGGCCCGCGCAGCCGGGCGGCGGTGCGTGCAGGCCTGGCGTAGTGGCGCGTGCAGGCCTGGCTAGTGGTCTGTGCCCATGAGCAGGGCGCGGATGTGCTCCACGGGAAGCTGGTTGGTCTCCACCATGCGGCGGGCCATGAAGGCGGCGGAGAAGGCGCAGAGGGCGGCGTACACGAGGTAGGAGCCCGCGATACCCAGCGTGGACAGCATGAGGGGGAAGGTGGCGCCGATGAGGATGTTGGAGCTCCAGTTGAGGCTGGTGCAGAAGGCCTGCGGCGCGGGAGGCGGCGGGTGGCGGGCAGGTGAGGGCCAGGGCGGGAGGCTCCTGGCGTGGCAGAGGGACACCCGGCTCGCCCGGGCGGCCCGGAGGGAGGGGTCGGGCCGTGCCCAGGTCGGGCCAGGGTCGGCAACATGCTGCCCCGTACCACCCAATCATGGATGTATATCGTATACACACCCAAGCGCGGGCCCGCCCCAACCTGCGCCGTGCCCATGATCTCCTGGGGCAGGATCTCGGGGAGGACGAGGAAGGGCAGCGGGCCCGCGCCGATGGCAAAGAACACCATGTAGGCCAGGATGCATGCCAGAGAGGCGGCGCCCTCCAGGGCCTTGGGGGCTGCAGGGCGGGCCGGGCGATTGCACCCAGCGTGGGATCATGGGAGGGCAACGCACCACTGGGCTTCCCTGCCCCAACACCCACGAATCTCCGGCCTCTATGGTCAGAAGCATCAGCGAGGATTGTGCCGCAGGCATACAGCGAGCGGGGCTGGGGGAGCGGGGGATTGCGGAGCGGGGCGGGGCGGCCCGCTCTAGCTCACTTGGCAGCAGCATGAAGGCGGAGAGCGTGGCCAGGCAGGCGCCCATGCCGGCAAAGGAGCAGATGATGAGGGGCCTGCGTCCTGCTCGGTCCATCAGAAAGGCAGCCACAATGGTGAAGGCTGCACGCGGGAGAGGGCAGGAGCACTGGGCAGGGTGAGGCGGAGGTCAGCGCGGAGGAGCAGCCAAGGTGGACTCAGCGCTGGCGCTGGAGCTCCCAAGGCCTTGCCTCCCCGTCGCCACCACCGCAGCTCACTCAGGTTGGTGGCCCCCACTGCGATGCTGCCCAGGATGGGCGAGCTGAGCCCCGCCTGCTCAAACACCTGCGGTGCGTGGGTGTGCAGGGGGTGCGGCAGCACGTCATGAGTGCGTCAGACCTGGATCGCGGCGGATCCCGGCTGGGCCTGGGGCAGCCTGCATGGGTGCCCCTCCTCCTCCCCACCTCTGTGGAAAAGAAGACGATGCTGTTGATGCCAGACAGCTGCTGCAGCAGTGGCAGCGCGGCGGCCAGGGTCATGACGCGGCGGTAGCGCGGGTGCCACAGCGCCGACCAGCCCGGGAGCGGGTGCTCGTGGGCCCGCCCCTCCTCGCCGCCCCCCTGCTCTGCCGCCAGCAGCGGCGCCTCCCCCGCCGCGGCCAGCGGCGAGCCGGCCGCCGCCTCTGCCGCCTGCTGCAGCTTGGGGTAGTCCTGGGGCCTGAAGCGGCGGCCGTGCAGGCGGCGCAGCGCCTTGGCCGCGCGAGCCGGCTGGCCCACGCGCAGCAGCCAGACGGGCGACTCGGGGCAGGCCAGCAGCGCCACGCCCTGCAGCAGGGCCGGGCCCAGCGCCGCCGCAAACATGATGCGCCTGCAGGGAGGGCGGCGCAGTAGGGGGGTGAGCCCTGGGCCCGGCGGGTCGGCCATGGGCAGCGTATGCACCACGGCTGTGCCGCTCACCACCAGGCCACATCGTGCCCCATCAGGCTGACGCTGTCTGTGCCGCCTTCGTACGGCAGGCCGATAATGTAGGAGGAAAGGATGCCCACGTTGACAAAGACCTGACAGCGAGGGAGGGGTGCAGGAGGAGGGAGGCAAGGACAAGCAGGTCAGCGCCAGCAGGAGAGTGAATGCAGCGAGCATGACGTCGCCCAACCAGCAGAGCATGACGGTGGTGGTGGCAGAACCCCTCCCCTCGAGCCGGGCTTGCCTGCGTGAGGGTGCCCAGCGCGCCGCGGATCGACACCGGCGCAATCTCCGCCAGGTATCGCGGCACCAGCACCGAGGCGGCGCCGGAGCCCAACCCCGCCACGGCGCGGCCCAGCAGCATGGCCGGCAGCTGGCGCGCGCCCAGGCTGAGCGCGGCGCCGGCCAGCAGGGCCGCCGTGTTCATCGCGCTGGCGGTCCTGCAAGAAGGAGCGGAGGGCAAGGTGGCGCTGCTCATTGGCAGGGAGCCAGCAGCGGTGTGCCCGCATCGCCTCTGTTTGGCAAAGAATGACTCGTGCCGTGCCACACTGTGTGAACAGCCGATTGCGCGTCTGGCAAAACTGGGGGCTCACCGCGGCCCGAAGCGGTCGGCCAGGCGGCCCGACAGGAGGGAGCCCAGGGTGGCGCCCACCAGCAGGCCGGCCACCATGGCGGCGCCCCCTCCCTCGTGGGAGGTGTTCAGATCGGCCTCCACATGCGACTGGCAGGTGTTGAGCACTCCCAGGTGGTAGCCTGCATCGAGAGCAGGCAGGGGGAACAGGCAGAGGGAGCAGGCAGGGGTCACGCGTGCGCCGCCTCTGCAAGGCGGCGGGCCTTGGACGGGCGCGCTGGGCGGGAGGCGGGCGGGCGGGCGGGCGGGCGGAGAGGGATTGCGCCCCGGCTGGCCAGCGTCGCTGCCAGCGCACCCACCAAAGAGCACCGAGCCCAGTAGGGAGCTGGCTGCAGACAGGTAGAGCGAGGGAGGCCAACCCAGCATGTCGTTGCGGCCTGGGCGATCAGCACACGGCAGCGTTGGCCCAAAGTGTCGGCAACAGGTTTGTGAGCGATCAGGGCCTCATACGCAGAGGTCCAGTCAGCTTGCGTAGGCAGTGCGCTCAGACACAGCCTACCGATCGATCGGAGATGTTTAAAAACGTGCAACTCACTGCATCCGCTCGCTTCCATCGCCGCTGAGCACTCCTGCTTGCGGGTTCCGGCTCGCACGCCCAGAGAGGGAATTGAGCAAGCCATCCAGTGCTTCCTACTCATTTGCATCCGCTGGTGGTCTCGTGTGTCCTGCACCAGCGTCCGTAAAGTGAGCCCTCCGCAAGGTTGTGGACGCCATCTCTGCGCTGCCTGGCCCTGCGCTCGCACTGCCCCCTCCCTAGGCACCCGTGAGATGTGTTATTGCATTGAAGCCGCGGGACGCCCATGCTGCACCTGCCGTCGCCACTGCTGCCGCCGCCGCTGCTGCTTGCAGGCAGCACTTTTGTCAAGCACCAGCCCTTGGCACCGCCAATTTGACCAGCGGCACAGGCAGCCATGGGCGACCAGTCGTGGGACCCCACCACGCGCGCCACGGTGCAGAAGATCCCGCTGCTGACCGTGAAGGCGGGGCCGCGCGAGAAGGAGGAGTGGCAGAAGCGGCTCAAGGAGGTGCGGGGTGCCTGCCGGGGGTGGTGACAGCTGGGGAGGCAGCAGCGGCAGCAGGCTGGACCCACAGGCATCGATCCGCACCCCCTGCTGGCCCTCCTCCCAGGCCCACTGCTGCAACAGCAGCAGCATCATGCTCCGCCACCTCCCTCCTGAGCTCCCCTCCCCTCCTGTGCCTTCTCTGTGCTCCTCCCGGCGTGCGCGCCGCAGGAGCTGCAGGCCCTGATCAAATACATCGAGATTAGCAAGGCCGCCGACCTCGACTGGTTCACCATCCGGCCCAGCAACAAGGAGGGGACGCACTGGTCGGGCAAGTGCTGGTACATCCACGACCTCATCCGCTACGAGTTTGACTTCCAGGTGGGGCGGGGGGTAGGCCTGGGGCTGGGGCCAGGGGAGCAGGGCAGGGCAGGGCAGCGGCAGCAGGGCAGGGCAGGGGCGCCCGGAGAGCGGCAGGGTGCGAGCAGCGCAGCACAGAGGGGGAGCAGCAGGTGGGAGGAGAGGGCGGCCCTGGCGTGGCGGCCGAGCTGCCCCAACCTGAGTCGCCCCTGCCCTGCCTCCTAGTGTGCATCCTCCTTCGCTGCACCCGTCCCGCCGCAGTTTGACATCCCCGCCACCTACCCCGCCACCGCGCCCGAGATCGAGCTGCCCGAGCTGGAGGGCAAGACGGCCAAGATGTACCGCGGCGGCAAGATCTGCCTCACGATACACTTCAAGCCGCTGTGGGCCAAGAACAGCCCGCACTTTGGCGTGGCGCACGCGCTGTGCCTGGGGCTGGCGCCCTGGCTGGCGGCGGAGGTGCCCTACTTGGTGGAGTCGGGGGCGGTACAGCCAAAGTCCTGAGTCAGTACCATGCTCATATCTCGAAGGACCTGGTAGTTGCGCGCTGCTCCCTGATTCTTTCATTGTACGATCGGTCACTTGCTCACCTGCAAATGCACTGCGAGGATGCTGGGGTGGGGTGGCTGATGAGCGCTACAGGGAAGCACTGGATGCCGGTGCAGTTAGGCAGTCAGCACGGCAGCATTTCCTTTGCCGCTGGAGCTGCGACTACTGTTTGCTTGCTGCCCGCCTGCCTGCGCCGGCAAGAGTTGGTGAAATGCCAAAACGACGGCGCCAGCGCACGCTGCGAGCGCTGCGTTGGCGGCCCGCCCTAATCCCGGCTCACCCTAATAGCAAGACAGATGAACGCATCTTCCCCTGTTAAGTCCACTTCAACTGAGCCGGTGGCAGCCAGCGCAGCGCCCTGCAGTTTCGGAATGAGATGCGGCGGCAACACAAGGGCGCCCAGGCACGCCCAGCCAGCGCCCAGCATCGCGCTGTTGGCATCAGCAACCGATCAGCGACATGGCGCGCCTGGCAGCACCCTTCCCGCCGCCGGCCGCGCCGCCGCTGCCGGGCGCAGGCGGCAGCAAGCCCGGGGCAGCAGCAGGGCGCAGCGCCAGCACAAGGCGGCCAGCAGAAGCGCGTGGTCATCACGGGCAGCAGCAAGGGCCTGGGCTATGCCATGGCCAGAGAGTTCCTGCAGCTGGGAGACCAGGTGGCGCTGTGCGGCCGCGACGAGGAGCGGCTGTGGGCTGCCCTGGACCAGCTGAGAAGCGAGTTTGGGGCGGAGCGGGTGCACGGCCTGCCCTGCGACTGCAGCCGCCCCGACGACGTGCGGCGGTTTCGGGAGTTTGTGCGGCAGCGGCTGGGCGGAGCCGATCTCTGGCTGAACAATGCGGGTGCGGTGGCGACGCAACCGGCGGCGGGCTCTCCCTCTCCTGCCCAGCCTCCCTACCGCCCCACAGATGTATTGCTGGTGACTTGCCTTGGCCACTCCAGCAAGGCCAGGACACCTGTGGAGCCCCTGCCTCGTGACGCCTGCAGGAGAAGTGACGGCCAAGCGGCTGCTGGCGGATGTGGAGGCAGATGAGGTGGTGCGGGTGGTGGGCAGCAACGTGGTGGGCTCGCTGCTGGGGACCCAGCAGGCCATCCGGCTGATGCGCGAGCAGCCCGCCGCCGAGCAGCCGGCGTATCACATCTTCAACTTTGGCTTCAGCGCATTCGGTGCCAAGGTGGGCGTGCGCTTTCGGTGCACATCCATGCGCGGGGCAATCCTGAGCCTCAACCCGCCTGGCGCCAGCTGTCGGCCTCTCAACCGCTTCAAAAGATGCAGCTCCCACCTCCAGGCTGTGCCCTTTCCACCCCCCCGCAGCTCACCAAGTCTGCCGTGACGCACAAGGCCACCAAGCGGGCGCTGACGCAGATGACGGAGAGCCTGCAGGATGAGCTGCGGGAGGCGGGCATCGCCAGCATCGGCGTGCACAACCTGTCACCGGGTGGGTGGCGCATGGAGGGGCCTGGGTGCTTCCACCTGAAAGCAGCCGCTGGGCTGAACGGATGTGGCAACCCTGCCGTTCCTCTGCTTCCTTTCATCGCACCTCCCTCCTTCCCTCCCGCCCTTGCAGGCATGCTGCTGACCGACCTGCTGCTGCGCGACTCCACCCCCGCCGCCCGCCGCTTCTTCAACGCACTGGCAGAGGAGCCCGAGACGGTGGCGACGGCGCTGGTGCCGCGCGTGCGCGGCGTGCAAGGCACCGGCACCAGCATCGAGTACCTGACGCCGCCCGAGGCGCTGCGCCGCATCCTGGCGGGGCTGCCGCAGATCATCCGCGGCGGCAGGTTCTTTGACGAGAGAGGGGAGCGGGTGCGGCAGCCGGGGCAGCGGTACCTGCCCAACGGCGTGCGGGTGCAGGTGGGGCGGCCGCCTGACGGGAGCAGCGCGGCGTGACTGGCCCAGCCAGTGTGTGAATTCGCTGGGGTGCCCTGTAAACCTGTCGCGGCAGCAGTGGGGAGCGGTAGGCAATGGCAGTGGGAGAGGCGGTAAAATCAGAGGTGGTGTCGGTGGGGTTGGGAGGCGGCGGCAGTGTTTGCGAGCGGCGTGGAGGTCGGGCAGGGGATGAGTTCTACAATGGAGAGGCGCTGCCAGCCAGAGACGCAGGGATGCCCACCAGAGACCAAGCTTTGCCTCCGCTGCGTCGCTGGCAACACCTGGCGCCACCGCTGCCGCCTCCCCTGCCTTGTGTTCCACAGCGTGGGGTCACTTTACATCACAATTTGGTCAGGGTCAGGCTAACCAGGCAGTGTCAGCGAGAGGGTCGGGGCGGGGCAGGTGAAGGGCCAGGGCCGCTGCGCTTCAGCAGGCTGGCACAAGGTGGGTGCCGCCGCCACCCAGCCGCCGCCTCAGCGCCCTGCCGCTCAGTACTCGTCCTCGGCGTCGTCGTCGCCCTCGGCAGACTCGGCGCCCACCTCCTCGTAGTCCTTCTCCAGGGCAGCCAGGTCCTCGCGGGCCTCTGCAGGACAGAGCACACGGGGGAGGGTGAGGGGCAGGTGAGGGCAGCGCTAGTTGCCGCCCGCCGCCGCCATGCCGCCATCTCCCCACAACCGCACATGGCGCCATCCCCCTTACCCGAAAACTCGCCCTCCTCCATGCCCTCGCCGACATACCTGCAGATGCCCAAGGGAGGCGAGACAGGTTCGAAAGGGGGACAGGGCAGGCAGGCTGGCAGCGCTGGGTCAGCGCTCGGTCGCCAGTGGCGGCGACACCACCTCACCGCCGGGCACAGCTCCCACCTCCCGCCTCACGCCCCCCCAGCTCACCAGTGCACAAAGGCGCGCTTGGCGTACATGAGGTCGAACTTGTGGTCCAGGCGGGAGAAGACCTCGGCGATGGCGGTGGAGTTGGAGATCATGCACACCGCGCGCTGCACCTTGGCCAGGTCGCCGCCGGGCACCACGGTGGGGGGCTGGTAGTTGATGCCGCACTTGAAGCCGGTGGGGCACCAGTCCACAAACTGGATGGTGCGCTTGGTCTTGATGGTGGCCACAGACGCGTTGACGTCCTTGGGCACCACGTCGCCACGGTACATCAGGCAGCACGCCATGTACTTGCCGTGGCGGGGGTCGCACCTGCGGGGGGCAAGGCGAGGGGATCAGCCTGCTGTGCAAGCCATGCATCCTAAATCCCAGCAGAGCTCCACCCAGCAAGCTGTCCCGTGCGTCCCTAGGCGCGCTCACTTGGCCATCATGGAGGAGGGCTCAAATGCGGAGTTGGTGATCTCGGCCACAGACAGCTGCTCGTGGTACGCCTTCTCGGCGGAGATCACGGGCGCGTAGGAGGAGAGCATGAAGTGGATGCGGGGGTAGGGCACCTGCAGGCGGGCGCAGCAGGTGTGGCAGCAGCACCACCAGGTGTCAGCGAAATAAGAGCCTGGCCAGCTGTCGCTGCTGTGGCTCTCCCATCTAGCAGGCGGCCCCCAGAGGTGCGCTGCAGCCTTGCCAGGCTGCTCCCATGCCCTGCCGACCAGCCCACGCAGCACCCACCAGGTTGGTCTGGAACTCGGTGATGTCCACGTTCAGGGCGCCGTCGAAGCGCAGGGAGGCGGTAAGGGAGGAGATGACCTGGGCGATGAGGCGGTTGAGATTGGTGTAGGTGGGGCGCTCAATGTCCAGGGAGCGGCGGCAGATGTCGTACACGGCCTCGTTGTCCAGCATCACCGACACATCGGTGTGCTCCAGCAGGGAGTGGGTGGACAGCACCGAGTTGTAGGGCTCCACCACGGCGGTGGAGACCTGCAGGGGCAGGTGAGGACCCAGCGCCAGCACATGCTGGGCAAGCTCGCTGGTGCGTGGCCATGGCAGGCACTGCTGCCAGGCCCGACCTCTCCCAGCCCCGCCCCCCACCCTACCACGGACCTGGGGGGAGGGGTACACGGTGAAGCCCAGCTTGGACTTCTTGCCATAGTCCACCGACAGGCGCTCCAGCAGCAGGGAGCCCAGGCCGGAGCCGGTGCCGCCGCCCACGGCGTTGAACACCAGGAAGCCCTGCAGGCCTGTGCAGTTGTCGGCCAGCTTGCGGATGCGGTCCAGGCACAGGTCCACAATCTCCTTGCCGATGGTGTAGTGGCCGCGCGCAAAGTTGTTGGCGGCGTCCTCCTTGCCGGAGATGAGCTGCTCGGGGTGGAACAGCTGGCGGTAGGTGCCGGTGCGGACCTCGTCAATCACGGTGGGCTGCAGGCGCAGTAGGGAAAGCAGGCGCGGGCGGTCAGGTCAGTGTCGGCAGCAGCGGGAGTTCGCAGGCCCATGCGGGCAGCAGCAGAAAGGCGGGGTGGGACGCACAACATGCATGGTCAAAGCAGGTCAAACCTCCCAGCACCCAGAACCTGCACAGCCCCACGTTGCAGCTCCTGCAGCCCTGCCTCACCTCCAGGTCCACAAACACGCAGCGGGGCACGTGCTTGCCGGCGCCGGTCTCGGAGAAGAAGGTGTTGAAGGCGTCGTCGCCGCCGCCGATGGTCTTGTCGGAGGGCATCTGGCCATCGGGCTGGATGCTGCGGGGGGCAGGAGTGGGGGCAAGCAGGAATTTTGAGGAGGTGGTAAAGTTGCCAAAGAGGCAAGGCAGGGCGTGCAAGGGGAAGCCCAGGCAGGCTGTCGCAGGCGCGTGCAAGGGCGGCCGGCGGGCGGGCGGGAGGGGCGCCGCCGCTCACCCGTGCTCCAGGCAGTAGAGCTCCCAGCAGGCGTTACCGACCTGGATGCCGGCCTGCATGGAGCGCAGGTCAGCCCAAGAGGTGAGTTGACTGTGCCAGGCCGGTTGGGATGGCGAGGCCCAAGGGGCGATCAGCGGGGCCCCCGGCTCCCTCGCGCCCCTGAATTTGCCGCCCATGGCCCGCGGCGCCCCGCCAGGCCGCCCCCGAGCCCCGGTCAGGCCGCCAGGGCGGTCAATTTGAACGCGGGGCGGGCGCAGCCCGGCGTGATCAGCGTCTGCAGGCCGCGGCAGCGGCGTACAGCATTATACTCACCTGCCCAATGTGAATGGAGATGACCTCACGCATGGTTGCGGGCGGTGGTTGGGCTTGGGGGCTTCGGGGGGGTTGGGAAGGCTTGGTTGGGGGTGGAGTCGAGCCAGACACGGTCTGGAACGACACCGGGGGTGAGAAGCGGCAGAATGGCGGCAGCAGTGGGCTGCGGCCCTCTTGGCCTGCCCGCAGCGCAGCACACAGCACGGCGGCCATCCAGGCCCCGCTGCTTGTCATGCGGACATCAGGATCGGCTGGCAGGTGCATACTGGGCCAGGATTAGCTGGGGGGCAGCCCGCGGCACCTGGAACTTGATCACTCGAGAGGACACTCCTTGGCCGCTGCACCCGAGGCACCCCCTACATCTACTGCACGCCCCCCACTTGGCCCCATGGCCGGCCGCCTGGTGGAGCTGGCGGGCTGGCTGGCCACCCAGGTGTTTGACGTCGTCGGCAGCGTGGCGGGGGTGCAGGGCGCCGACGGAGGAACCACCGTGGACCTGCAGGTCGGCAAGACCGTCTTCTTCGACGTGCCCGTCAAGGTGAGGGGAGAGAGGGGCATGGGCAGCTGTGCAGGCTCTTGGGGGTGTGCTGGGGAGCATCCTGGGAGGGCTACACGAGCGGCTGTGTGCTGGGCCACGGCCCATGCCCGACACCTGCCTGGCCTTCTCCCCCGGTTGCAGATGCGCACCGAGCTGTGGCTCAGCCAGCTGCACCGCAAGGCCTCCGATGGCACCACGCCGTCGGCAGGGGAATACTACGACCTGCTGTTTGAGGTGTGCGGGCGTGTGTGGTGGGCGGGCGTGGGTGGACGGCGGTGGTGGCTGTTGTGCGGTTCATGTGTGTGTGTGAAGATTCAGGGGATGACCACTTTGATTAAAGTTGTGAATAGGCAAGGGCTACCCCGATTAATCCAGCTGACGATGCTGCCCGCCTGCCTGCGCCTGCAGAAGCTGTCGCCGGATGTGCTGGCGGAGATTGATAAGGACACGCACCGCACCTTCCCTGGCCACACCTGGTGGGGCCCTGCCCTGCCCAGCCCCTGCCTCCAGCCGGTGCTCCCGCATGGCCCTGCCCTCCCACTGCCTGTGACACAGCACTGCAGCTGGCCAGGCCGGGGCCGCCTCACGCTTTCAAGGCCTGACGCCCCCTGGATCCCGCCTGCAGGCTGTCCTCGCCCACCGGCCAGAAAGCCATGCTGAATGTGCTGCGCGCGTATGCGCTGTCCGACCCCGAGATTGGCTACACACAGGGTGCGGCCCGCCGCTGCAGATCAAGCCAGACCCCTCGCCTGCATGCTACTGCCCGCTGGGTCAGCCTTTAGCCAGGGCACCCCGCAGTGATGCCATGCTTCAACCGCTCCTGCCTTGACCCCGCCGCTCCCTCCCTCATGCCCTCCCGCAGGCATGAACTTCTTGGTGGGCCTCCTGCTGACCTACCTGCCCAGCGAGGCAGACGCGTATGCGGCGCTCAGCCTGCTCATGCGGCAGCGCGGCCTGCGCGAGATGTACCTGCCAGACATGTCGCTGCTCCAGATCCGACTCTGGCAGCTGTCCAAGCTGCTGCCGCCGCGGCTGGCGGCGCACCTGGAGGCGCACGCCGCGCTGCCCGTCCTCTACGCCTCCTCCTGGCTCCTCACCTGCTTCGCCGCCGACTTCCCGCTGCACTTTGCGGCGCGCGTGGTGGATGTGCTGATGACGGGGCAGGGCGCCGCCTCGCCCATGCTCAAGGCACGCGCCGCCGCGCTGCAGCTGCCGGTTCCACGCTGTCAGCCTTGGACCCGCGCCGCACGCTGACCTCGCCCGGTGTCACAAGACCAAGCTGGCGCGGCCGCGCTGCCTCTCAAACAACCCTGCGCACCTATGAATGGGCGTCCTCCCACCGCTCCCCCGCAGGTGGCAGTGGGCATTGTGTCGCACTGCGAGGCCGCCCTGCTCAAGATGGGCGACTTTGAGGACATCGTCAACTACCTGCGCCAGGAGGTGCCGCAGTGGAGCAAGCCGGTGCTGCACGACCTGCTCACCGATGCGCTCAGGTGGGCGGGCGGCCTGGGGGTGGGGCGGGCAGGTTCTCAGTGTCACAGGCCCATGGGCGTGGCTGCAACAGGTTTCAGCCAGGCCGGGCGCTGCTGGCCTTGGCCTTGACTCCATCGCCTGCTGCCTGAGCGGATGCACCTGCCTGTCTGCCGGGCTGCCCGCCTGCGCCCCCCTGGCGGTGCAGCAAGCCGTGGAGCGCGCGGCAGCTGCGGGTGCTGGACCAGATCAACGGGGCAGAGACGGTGATGGAGGCGGTGACGAGGGTCAACAGGCTCGCCAGCCAGTCCACCGTCGAGGCAGCAGAGGCGCAGGCGGCGCTGGAAGAAAGCGCGAGCAGCCCCACGCCGCCCCTGGACGCGCCGCCAGGCGCTCAGCAGGAGCAGCAGCAGCAGCAGGTGTCGCCGACGCAGCAGACGGCGGCGGGAGCGGCGTCCACAGCGGCGGCAGGGGGCGAGCGCCGCGGGCCGCTCACCCCCCGCACCATGGCTCGGTCGCTCAGCAACAGCTTCCGTCTGCCCAAGGTGCCAGCGGGCCCTCCCGGCAAAGCCGTGCCTGCAGGCTGGGCATCCTGGAAAGCGACGCCTGACCTGGAGTCACGTGAGCGAGCCGCTGCCTGCCGTTTGCCGGAAAAGCCGTGCCTGCTGGCGCAGCCCGCTGCCGCTCCCGCCGGTGCCCCCTCGTGCTTGCCGCCTGGCCTGCTTTCGCAGTCGTGTGTCTCCCCTCACTTGCATGCCTGCTTGCCTCCCCGCTCTGCCCCCGCGCTGTTGCCGCAGTGCCACCGCAGAAGGTGCGCATCGATCGCTCCGTCGCCGCCGACCTCGACCTAGTGCAGTTGGACCCGCAGCTCAGCCAGGCCCTGTCAGCCTACTCGCCCCACGACACATCCCGCCACGGCTCCGGCTCGGCTCCCGCCCAGTGGTCGCCCGTGACGCTGCCGCGGGCCTCGTCCTCTCAGCAGCAGCAGCCGCCGCCGCAGCAGCAGCAGCAGCAGGCCGAGGGCAGCTTGGTGCCTGAGGAGGCGGCTGCCAGGTGGGAGGCCTTTGCCCACCAGTCCAGCATACACCTCATGGCTGCGCCCTCGCCCTTTGATGCGGGCCCTCCAGACAGCAGCGGCACGCCACGCTTTGGCCTGCCTCCACCTGGCACACCCCCCGCCCCGCGGCAGCAGCCCACGGAGCAGGCGCCGGTGTCGCCGCCGCCCGCAGCAGCGGGTGCCTCGGCAGCCCCGCCGGATGCCGCTGCCAGCTCGCCAGCCGCCGCGGCGGTGGCAGCGGGAGAATTGCCAGCCGCGCGCACCTCCCCTGCAGCAGCGGCAGACTACGGCTCCGACTCTGCTCCCTCCTATGGCAGCTTCCAGATGACCACCCTCAACTCAGCCCTGCCGCTGGTGGACCTCAGCGAGCAGCAGCAGCAGCGGGGCCGGGGCCAGGCGGAGGCAGGGGGCGCCGGGGCAGCAGCAGCAGGCGACGACGGCGGCGGCAGCGGAAGCGCCAACCTCATCCAAGACGCGCCATCCAGCCACGGCAGCAGCCTGGCCGCCGTGCTGCACGCCCTCTCCCTCAATGCCAACTGGGCCAGCAGCCGTTACGACACCGCAACCAGCGGCGGCGACAGCGCCGCAGGCAGCGTGTCTGGAGGGGCGCCGCCTGCCGCGGGCGCACCACCCAACCGCCGCCTGCGGCACAGCAGCGAGGTAGAGGAGTGGTGCAGCTTCAAGACGGCGGCGGGCAGCGAGCAGGGCGGCTTCGAGGGGCAGCACAGCTTGGGCCAGGGGCTGAGCGGCCTGGACAGCTGGCAGAGCACGGGGCACTATGACGGCCAGCCCAGCGGGCTCAGCAGTGACGGCAGCGGTTCGGTGGCGGCGCCATCCATGCACCACGCCACGGGCTGGCGCAGCGGCAGCAGCAGCGGGTTGGGCAGGCCGTCGGCACGCCAGCTGTCGGCGGTGGGGTCCTCCAGCCTGCCGCTCACCGGAGAGGCCGCTACCCGGCGGGCCGCCTCGCTGCAAGAGGAGCACCTGCAGGGCTTCCGGGTGTCTGGCAAGAAGGATGCAGCCAAGAAGCCTTGACACACTCGTGGTGGTCGCTTGTCCGCCTGTTGCTAGCTCGTGAGCTCGTATTTTGCACTCTCCCATTTATTTGCTGTTGATGAATTTTTGTAAATGACTCATCCTCTACTGGCACAGTGCACCAGGTCACGGCAGTGCCCCAAACCTTGCGCTGGGACGGGCCGCGGCGAGGTGGCCGCCAGCCAGGCGGCGGCGCTGCTGACCAGGCACTCGGAAGACCCCGAGACCTCAAACTCATTTCGCACGGCATGTACGCTCTCGGCAGATGCGTTCACGATGTGCATAGCTTACTTTGCGTGGCAACACCCGCAGACCCCCGACCTGCTGCTTTGTGCGTTGTTTAACCGTGACGAGCAGCTGGACAGGTGCGCGAGGCCAGGCAGAGCATGCGCGTTGCGTGCCGCACCCGCGCCGGAGCCGGCTTGCTGGCGGCAGGCGGCGGGTGCCGCGAGGCAGCACCAGCCAAGCCTGCAGCCCCCCTCTGCAGGCCCACCGCACCCAGCCACTTTTGGGAGAACGACCAACGCATCCTTGGCGGCCGAGACCTGGTGGCGGGTGGCACGTGGATGTGCGTCGGCACGCAGTCGGGGCGGGCGGCATTCCTCACCAACTTCCGAGAGGTGCGCAGAGACAGAAGAGTTGCTGTGCGCTTGCAAGGAGTGTCTTGCCTGCTGCCTCCACCTGCCAGCATCCTTTGCCGCCCCCTACCCACTTTGCTCCTTGGGATGTCATGCAGCTGCGAGACCCGCCCTGCGCAGCTGGCGCAGGCGCGGCGGGCAAGGGGGAGCCCAACCACGCCCTCGGCACCATGGACAGCTTCCGCCTGGGCACCCCCAGCCGCGGCGAGCTGCCTGTGGGGTTTGTGAGGGGCGGGGCGGAGCCGAAGCGCTACCTGCATAGCCTGCACGGCGGGGAGGTGAGCAAGACGCAGGCGGGAGAGGCAGGGGCGCCGGTTGCATCCCCCCCCAATCGAGTTGCTTCCACCGTGAGCTGCCTGCCTGCCTGCCTGCCTGCTCCTGCAGGCGTATGCCGGCTTCAATCTGGTAGTGGCCGACCTGGTGCAGCAGCGCATGGCCTACCTGTGCAACAGGGGCAGCGGGCGGCCCGAGCCGCTGCCGCCCGGCCTGCATGCGATCACAAACGGGCTGCGAGACGCACACTGGCCAAAGGTGGGAAGCGCTGGGAAGGCTGTCATTCACCGCCGCACCTGTTGAGCACTTTTCAGTTGGCCAGTGCCGGCAGAGCCACGGGAGACACTGGATTGCCGCTATCCCCTGATTGGCTGGATCGCTGCGGAACCCACACCCACTGCAACTGCAGATGGACGAGGGGTGGCGCCAGCTGCAGAGGTTGCTGGATCAGGGCGCCTTTGGCGCTGCCAGCAGCAGCAGCAGCAGCGGCAGGAACCAGGACAGCAGTGGCGGTGGCGATGCAGCCGGCACCACTGGCGGCGGCGCATGTAGCAACGGCAGCGACCAACAGAGTGGCGACAGAGGCGGGGCCCGCGGTGGGAAGGACAGCAGCAGCGGCGGTGGCGGTGGCGGCGGCAGGACCAGCATTCCATGGGAGCAGCTGTTTGCCTTGCTGTCAGATGATCGGCTGCTGGAGCGGGACCCTGCCAAGCTCCCCCAGACAGGGCTGGGAGACGAGTTTGAGGCAGCAGCCAGCGGCATCTTTGTGCAGGCAAGCTCGCGGCGCGCTGGCGGCGGGCCGCGTGCGGCGCGTGCTGCCTTGCGTGTGTGGTGCTGCCTGCTGGGCGCCTGGTGGCGCTCTGAGCTGGGTGCCTGGTCGTCTTCCGCCCGCCTGGCATGCAGCCGATTGAGACAGGGCAGGGCCTGTTCGGCACCCGCAGCCAGGCAGTGCTGGCGGTGTGGCGGGATGGGCGGGGCGAGCTGCGGGAGCGGTATCGCGACGACAAGGGCGGGGACTGGCGGGAGGTGCAGCACAGCTTTGAGCTTCCCCTAGGTGGCAGCCAGGGTGACGCCGGGTAGGCCGCCTTAGCAATGACAAAACAATGGGTAAAGAGCATGCCGAGAGATAGTATTGGAGTATGCAACACAGGTAGCATCAGGAGTACAACAAAAAGCTGATGAAACAAGGTCCCAGCGGACCCCTGCTCACTGCCGCTCGACATCTGGGCTGCCGCGTGCGGCGTGGGCGCTGTCGCTGCGGGCGGGCCCGTCACGCGAGCTGTGCAGCTTCACAGCGCTGTCCTCGCACAGCAGCCCGCACCCGGCCCCGCCGCTGCTGCCGCCGCTGGCGGCCAAGAGCTCGGCTGCCCGCTGCGCCTCTCGCTGCCAGTTGAAGCGTGTCAGGACGAAGAGCATGATGGCGCCCTGCAGGGTGGAGCGGCCACGCAGGCGGGGTGAAAGTCGGAGAGAGCGCCCAGCAACAGCGCTGCCAGCATCGAGCAGCTTCCGGGGGGGGCAGCGCAGGACGGCAGGCGGCCGGGTGTCCAATACAGTAACATAATTTGAGCCCTGCCGGCGGCCCGCACCTGCACAGAGGTAGCCAGTATGAGGCCGCCCCAGAGCCCCTTGAGCTCCAGCCCGCCCTTCACGGCCAGCAGGTAGGCGGTGGGCAGGCCCAGGCCCCAGTAGCTGCCCAGGTTGAGCAGCGCGCCCAGCTCCTGGCGCCCCGCGCCGCGCAGCACGCCGCTGATAGTGCAGTTCAGCCCGTCCCCAAACATGGATGCGGACATGAGCGGGAAGGTGGCAGCGCACATGGCCACCACCTCGGGTATGTTGGTGAACAGGGCGCCGATGCCGTGCCGGCCCAGCAGGATGGCCGCAACCAGCAGCAGCTGCGTGCAGGCGGTGCAGGCGGTGGCGGTGTTGGCGCTGCGCCGCGCACCGTGGGGCAGGCCCGCGCCCAGCGCGTTGCTCACGCGCACCGACGTGGCGCAGGACAGGCCCTGCGGGGGCAGCGGGTGAGACGTGGGGGCCGTCAGAAGCAGCAGCAGGGCATCAGCGGGCAGGGCGGCGGGAGGCCTTGCCGTGCCCTCGAGCAGTGCCATCAAGCCGCTGCGAGAGCGTCCCATGCAGAGCGGCCGCAAGGCGCAGCAGCGGGCCTGCCCACAATCGCGGCCCAGCCTCAGCCCCGGCCCCATCCCGCTCACCATTGGCAACATGTAGGCCAGGCCCGAGACCTGCAGCATCACCCCCATGGCAGACACGTGCAGCGTCGGCTGCTCCAGCCACCCCGCCCTGCACATGTAGGGGGGTGGGCGGCATGCCAGGGGGCGGGTGAGCAACACACGAGTCCGCGGGTGCCGCTGTGCAGCTGTGGAGACGCCTGCCTGCCTGCTGGCGCGCCCCGGCCTGCTCCCAAGCAGCCCATCCGCTGCCGCCGTGGCGCTGGCCGGCGTCTGAGGGACGGCACTCACATGAAGATGCAGAGCTCATATGCCCACCACTCCAGGCAGACCATGAGGGTGGAGGGCACAGCCAGCTTGTAGTAAGTGCCCAGCCCCTGCAGGCAGTCCCGAGACCTGCGGGCAGCGAGGGAGGGTGCATGAGTTGCGGCCTGGGCATGGCTGCGCTGGTGCACCCCTTACAGCTCGGGCAGCGCAGGGCAGCGCTCAGCGCAGAGCAGAGAGCAGGGCAGCTGGATTGCTGCCGCTCACCAGCCATGCCACGTCTGCTCCGCCGTGCCTATCCGCCGGCGCTCGTGCCAGACCAGGTACGCCACCAGCAGCAGCAGCATGGTGGCGTTGTTGGCAACCATGGCGGCAACAGCGCCGTCGATGCCCAGCCCAAGCTTGAAGATGAGCAGCCAATTGAAGAGCGGCGACAGGGCCAGCGCCACGCTGCACACGGCGGTGACGGGCTGCACACAGCCCTGCACCAAGCACGGGAGGCAGCGCAGCGCTGGGCACTCAACCCACGACGCGGTGCTTCCGGCATCATTAGGGTCAACCCAACGCAGAGAGCATTGCTGCGGCACCACCGCGTTGCCTCAGTCCAGCTCTGGACTCGGCCCACAGCAGCACCCCCTCCCACCTGCGCCATCAGGTAGCGCTTCAGGCACTCAAACATGCCCGCCAGCAGCAGCGCGGGGGTGGACAGCAGCAGGTAGCGCGCGGCGCCGGCGGCGATGTCCTCCTGCTGCCCCAGCGCCAGCAGCAGCGGCTCCATGTTGGCCCACAGCACGCAGATGGCGGCGGTGGTGGCCAGGGTGGTGATGACCTGCGGGCGGTACAGGCAGGCAGGCAGGCAGGCAGGCAGGCAGGCATCAGTGCTCTGCGCTGAAGCCGACGACGTCACGGGACTGGCACCAGCCGCGGAGCCGGGGCTGTCGCCGCTCACCGCCTTCTGCAGAGTGATGCCCAGCGCCCGGAAGTTCTTGGCTCCCCACGCCTGGCCGCACAGCGTGTCCATCGCACCCAGCAGCCCCATCACGACGCTGCAGGCGGGCCGGGGCGAGGCAGGGCCGACTCGCGATGCGTCCTTGGAATTTTCCACGGCGTTCACGGCAGGAGGGCAGCCGCTGCTGGCGCCAGCACAGCAAGGGGAGCCCACCTGAAGCCCGTCACGCTCATCATGCTGGTGGCCAGCACAGCCACCGCCATCTTCTCCTCTGACAGCCGCCCGATGAAGGCGACGGAGACCAAGTTCAGCGCAAAGTTCATAAACTGGGAGACGATGATGGGGCCGGCCAGCTGCGCGATCCTGCACGGGTGGCATAGCAAGGCGGCAGAGCAGGAGGAGATGGTCGGGTACCAATCATCCACGCCACTGTGGTTGTTTAGGAAAAGGAGCATGCAGCCACTCACCGCCACGCCTCGTGTTGGTAGACCTTCCAGCCTTCCTCCTCCGATTCCGTGGCAATTGTGAACTTGCTGACCGCTCTGTGCAGCCGTGGGTTGGCGGCCGAGGCGGCGGCGCCGGCGGGAGGAGCTGCCAGCAGCGGTTCCTCGTCGTCATCCAGTGCAAAAACGGGCTCTTGCCAGCCCGAGCCTTCAATTTGCAGCGGCTCCCACGCCTCCTGGCGCTGCTGGGGCGGGGTGCCTGCTTCTGCCGCTCCTCCCATGCTGCAGGCTAATGCCACCAACCGAGGATTACCAGTAGATCCCAAATGCCTGCTTGTAGTTCGGGAAAGGCTCGGTCACGCGAATTGTGAAGCAATCGCTCGTATATTGACGCAGGGGGGCCTTGAGACGTCAAGGCAGATCTTGTGGTGGTAAGTATTCAATTCAGTTCAGAAGGCCGGGGAGGATTGGTAGCGTATGGGAGCACATGGGACTTGGCCAGCTGGCGGGAGGGTGGGCGGCGGGCATGTCGTGGTATGCGCCCCCCCGAGGACAAACACATGAGCACTTCCTTCATGAGCAAATGCGAATGGCCACCGGCAACATTTATATGTGCACCTCCTTCTACTGCTGAGCAGAGGGCCCCATGGCATTTACAAGGATGGGCAGAGTGCACAGGACAAAGGTCGGCAGGACTCGCAGCTGTGCATGGGGCCGGGGCATGGCTAGATGTACAAAAAGTCATTGTGGGAGACCGCGTTGGCCGCCCCCCGCCGATCCTCCTCCTCCACCCGCTCCCGCTCCTTCCGGTTCTCATACTTCTGGTCGTCGGTGGGCAGCTCATGGCTGCAGAGAGGTGAGGCGGGGCAGGGCAGGAGCGAGCGGTGTGTTAAACCATCTATCCAAATGGATTCAGAAATTGCACGAGGTGGCAAATAACCATGTGACAGGCGCTCACCGGCAGGTCGGGCACGAGTTGTTGGTCTGAAGCCAGGGCGCCAGGCAGGGCGGGTGGAAGCTGTGGCAGCACGGCATGACCTGCACCTCGTCGCCCTCACTGAACTCATCCCTGCGCCAGCAAGGAGCAGCACCATGAGCAGCAGGGGTCACCAGGGGCAAAGCAACCGGAGGCAGCGGCCAGGCGGTGTGGTCAGGCAGTAGGCTGGAGGACCGTCGCCGGCTGCTGGCAGACCGGCGTGCGCCACCAGGCGAGGGCGCTGGGCCATACCCGCAGCAGCAGCCACTCACATGCACACCGGGCAGCGCGTGCCTGCGCCCCCCAGCTGCTGCAGCCGTGCAGCGGTCAGGTGCTCCTTGGGCAGGGATGCCACCACCCTTTTGGACGCCGGTGGGGCGCGCTGCGCGGCCTGCTGCCCCGTCTCTTCCATGATCTGAACAGCGATGGCATCCAGCTCTCGCTCTATTGCCTCCAGCACATGCGGGGGCAGCTCCACGGCCTGCTGCTGCGCGTCCAGACTCGGCTGCTGCTGCTGCTGCTGCTGCTGCTGGGATCCCGGCTCTTGGTTGCTGACCTGCTCGCTCTGGTCAGCCCTGCCCTCGTCGCCGCCCTGCTGCCCCTGCGCTGCCGCCAGCTGCTGGGCAAAGGCACCGCCCAGGAGGTCTAGCAGGCGGGGCTGGGGCCGCGGCGCCGCCGCCCCGTCTCCCTCCCCAGACAGCTGCCCCTCAAACAGGAAGCCTCCGGGCGCTGGTGGGGCTGGCACGCTGGCAAACAGGGCGGCGGTGGCGCTGTCGGCGGCGGTGACCCCGCTGGATCCTGCCCCGGCCACTGGCCCTGCTGCTTCCGAGGGCCCTGCCGCATCTCCGAGGTACTCGTCACATTCCTGGATGTACAGCTCCAGCTCCCGGCGAAAGGCATCGTCGCCAGCGGCCTGCGCCTGCGCCGAGCGGAACAGCTGGCGGCCGGCCACCCAGAAGGGGCGCCCCGTGAATCTGCAGGGGGAAGAGGTCAGGGGGAAGAGGTCAGGGGGTCGTGGCGGATGAGAGCAACAGCATGGCAAGGCGGCGGAGAGCGGCGGCGGGCGGCGCGCACCGCGACCGGAGCAGCGTGCGCGCCCGAGCCACCAGAGCTCTGCCCTCGGAGCCGGCCGCAAGGACGTCAGGCTGCGACGCTAGCTGGCTGCATGCACTCTCAAAGGTCGCCTTCTTGTTGAGAGCGGCCTGCAGCTCGCTGAAAGGCGGTTCCAGAATTGTTGCGGCCGCCATGGGCTCCCAGACTCAGGTGGGTGACAGAAACGAGCTGCTTGTGTCTACACCAGGTGAGAGGAGTGCCCCCGATGAGCGATGGGGCAGGCCAAAAGGCTCGCGCTGCCCAGCTGGCAAAAGATAGGAAGGCACACCTCCTCTCTGCAATACCGCTTACCAGACCTTCCCAGCGACCTGCCATGCTCATCCAGGAATCTGCAGTCGTGCCTGCTCTCACCGACTGATCGCCATCCCTCCCCCTGTGATCAGGACGGCGGCAACAGTGGGAACTAAGTTGGAGGACAGCAACTCACAGCGCGGATCGGCAGCGGCAGCTCAGGCGGTGCATACCCGCCACGCCGCCGCCCCCGCCCGACCGCGCCGCCCTGCTGCAGCAGGCCCGCACGATGAGCGGCGCGCAGGCGGGTGGCGGCCCCATGCTGGCCGCCAGCGGCGCCACCCTGGCATTCCTCAAAGAGCTGGTGGCCTCTTCCATTGAGAGCGATGACGTGGGGCCGCTGGTCAAGGCGGTGTTTGAGGTGGCGCCCGCGGGCGAGCCGCTGCCGCTTCCGCCCACCCGCGACAGCGAGTCGGCCACCACCAGCCAGGGGGATTCGGGGCAGGCGGTGCCGCAGGGCAGCGTGCTGGACAGCGTGCTGGAGCTGCTGCAGGAGGTGGCAGAGGAGAAGGAGGCTGAGATACAGCAGATCTGCAGGTGGGGACTTGCGCATGCTGCAAGGCACGCCGGTGGCCTGTGCCGGGACTAGGCTGCGGGTAGTGACAGCTGTGGCAGGCCGCGCGCTTGCGCCGCACGGTACGACGGCCGGCACCTGCTTCTGATCGCCCGCTTCCCTCTGCCCTGCCCCTGGCTTCTGCACTTGCGACTGGCCACCCGCAGGGCGAATGCGAGGGAGATAGCGGGGGCGATGCACGAGCTGGGCGCCATGCAGCGCTCCACCGCGGCGCTGCGCCAGCAGCTGCTGGCCAGCAACGCCACGCTGCAGGCGGCGGGCACCTCGTTTGCGGGGAGGCTGGAGGAGGTGCAGGAGGTGGTGCTGCTGCAGCAGAAGGTGGCGGCAGCACGCACGGTGGGTGCACATGGCATGCGGGTGGGGGCCGCGTGGGCGTGGTAGTGGCTGTGGGACGAGGTGTTGAGCAGGGGCGCTGCTGCGAATGGGTCAACTGCGATGGCTGCGTGCACTCTCCTTCCCAATGGCCGCCTCTCCTTGCCCCTAGGACGTCGTCTCCACCATCCCGCCCCGCCCTGCGCTGCCCCTGCGTCTCTGCAGGCGGTCAGCGTGGCGTTGCAGGTGCTGGCGCTGTGCGCCAGGGCTGCCAGGTACATAGAGGGGAAGCAGCTGTTCAAGGCCTTCAAGACTCTGGAGGCAGTACAGCGGGACCACGGCGCCGTCCTGCGGGGTTCCGGCGGCGGCTACCTCCCTCTGCTGCCCACCGCTGTCGCCACCAGCGCAGGCGCCGCCAGCAGGGAGGGAACGCCGCTGAAGCCGGCGCCTGGGGGCGCTGCCGACGGCGGCGGCGCCGCCGGCGCCAGCAGCAGCAGTGCGGCAGACCAGCTAGGCCTGCTGGCGGGCTTCCTGCGGGAGCGTGTGGCTGAGCTTGTGGCTCTGCTGGAGCAGCGGGCCATCGCCGACTTCAACAATTGGCTGGCCAATGTGCGCGCCCAGGCACGGACCATCGGCATGCGGGCCATCCGCTGGGCCGCCTCGGAGCGGCAGCAGGAGGAGGCGCTGACGCGGCAGCGCAAGCTGCTGCTGCCGCAGCTGGAGGGGCTGCAGGACATGCGGCAGGCGGGGGCGCTGGTGGCGCAGTCCCTGACGGCGGCCAGCCTGCGCGAGCCGCCGCCCGCCACGCCGCTGCCGCTGCCCGCCGTGCTCGGCTCCCCCGGCGCCGGCAGCCAGCAGGAGGCAGCCCCTGGCGGCAGCAGCTCGCCGGGAGCCGGCAGCAGCAGCCCCGCCGGCTCCAGCGGCAGCACCAGCGCCAGCGCCACCGCTGCCCGCTTTGCGGCATTCAAAGCGGCGCGGCAGGCGGCAGGCTCCTCTCCCGCCAGGACTTCCAACAGCCCCGCCGCCGCAGCGCGGGCAGCAGCAGCAGGAGACTCCTCGCCTCCCGGCACGGCAGCCTCCTCCAACACCCGTGCGGCTGCAGCAGCGGCGGCGGCAGCGGCGCAGACGCCGCCGCCGCAGGCGCAGCTGCGGGGCGTGCAGCGCTCCGACACCTTCCAAGTCACAGGTGGGGGCGGCTGGGGTGGCTGCCAGGCAGGCAGACGGCACACAGCACCGCACAGGAACATCCGGGGGAGCTAGGTGTTGCAGATGAGCGGCATTGCCATTCTGCCTCGCTTGCCACCTTGCCGACGGCCCTCCCCGACCTCCCCGACGCCTCTCCTGCCGCAGGCGACCTACTGGAAGGTGTGGACATGGCGCCGCTGCACCGCTGCGTGCACATCCACGCCTGCCTGGGCCGCCTGCCCCAGTTTGCCGACTACTATGCACAGAATAGGCGGCAGCAGGTGCGGTGGCGCGGCCTAGCGTCGCTGATGCTGGCGGTGGCGGAGTGCGTTTCTGCATTCACTGGGCGAGCGGCGTGCCGGCCGGCCGCCTCTCTGCAGTGCCGCCTCCACGCTCTGCCTCGCGCTGTCGGCAGCTGGCCATCCATGCACGCCGCGTGCCACCTTGCCACCCTGCCAAGCCCGCGTCGCCCTCCTCCGCCTCCTCCCCTTGGCATATCATCATCCCGCCCTGCCTCCGGCCGCCTCCTCCCCTGCTGTCCCTGCAGCTGTCTGCTGACCTGGCGCTGCACCAGGGAGACTTCCTGGCCCACTACCAGGCCTACCTCACCCAGCTGGCGGGATTCTTTCTGGTGGAGGATGCGGTACAGGCGGCGGCAGCCGGCGCCGCCGGGGAGCCGCTGGACATCGTGGCGCAGGTGGGTGGGTGTTTGAAGAGGGCGGGGCCCCACCCCCGCGGGGGCCTTTTGTGTCTCCTGTCGTTGCCCTGCTGTGCATGCTGTGCTTCCTTCCCTGCCCCTGCCGCGTGCAGCGCCATGCAGCGCTGACCTGGCGAGGCGCTGGCCCGGCCGCCCGCAGGTGGATGCGTCGTGGGACGCCGCGGTGGCGGCTCTCAAGGCCGTGCTGGAACCGGCCTTCCGGGGCGCCACCGCCGCCGCCGCCATGCTGACGGTCAAGGACTTCATGCTGCTCGTCTGCCTGGCCCTGGGTGAGGCAGGCATGGCGGGAGGCAGGGCTTGCAGGGCCTGCAGCCCTGCAGACATGTGTGCTGCGCCGATGGGCCGCCCCAAACCACTGAGCCTGCGCTGCCCCGCCTCTGCCCTGGCCGCTCTGCTCATGCAGACCACTGCGGCTACCAGACTGTGGCGGTGCGGGAGGTGCTGATGAACAGCCGGGCAACATATCACGACCTGCTCACGGCAGCCACCACCACAGCTGTGCAGGTGTGGGCACACGCGTGTCTGTGTGGGTGTGTGTGCATCGCGGGCCTCTGCCGCCATGTACAGTGGGAAGACGTGAGTGTCGTTGCTGTGCCTGCTGTGCCTGCTGTGCCTGCTGTGCAGGCGGCTGTGTCGCGGGACAGCCTGGCGCCGGTGGAGGTGGGCAGCCAGGGCAAGGCGGCGGAGCTGTTCCGCCAGCTGGCGCTGCCGCCCACCTTCCGGGCAGAGGTGCGGCAGCACGCTGTGCTGCGCTGTGCTGTGCTGTGCTGTGTTGTGTTGGGCTGGGCTGCAATGTGGTGCACTGTGATGCGCGCTGTGATGAGCTGGGAGGCCTGCTGCCTGTGCCTGCCTGCCTTTTGGCGCAGGATGCTGAGAATAAGCGGCCGCCTTTCAAGGCGCCCTTCTCTGCTATGGTGCCCGACCTGGTGCGGGCGATTCGGGGGCACATTGTGGACTCAGGTGGGGGCAGGAGGTGGCCTGGTTGGGCCCTGGCTGTGCTGCCTTGCTTCTCCGCACTGATGCATCAGACCAATGACAAAGGAAGTGTGGAGTGTGGGGTGGTTTGTGCACCCTGTTCGGCCACCCCCCGTGCCCCGCCCGACACACCTTCCCCCCTCCCCTGCAGTGGCCTACCTCAAAGGGCTGCTGACGGCGGGCGAGGTGGTGCCCGCGGCGCGGCAGTACCGCGACCGCATGCTGGTGCGGGTGGTGGTGGGCGCGCTGCGGCAGCGGCTGGATGCCGCCGCCGGCGACACGCAGCTGCCGGTGGCTGTGGGCCTGCAGCTGGTGGCCAATGTGGCTGCCCTGGTGTATGCCCTGGTGCCGCTGGATGATTTCCTGGTGGCTCAGGCCCGGGGCGAGACGTCGGGGACGACGGCCGCGCCCGCAGCTGCGGCTGCCCTGGGCAGCAGGAGCCCCAGCCCTGGGCGCCGCAGCCGCAGCCGCTCCCCCGTCAAGGCACCCGCAGACGAGCACCGTGGCCGGCAGCAACAGCAGCAGCAGGGAGGGTCGGGAGACGCCGGGGCAGCACCGGCAGGCGGCGGCGCCAGCCCCGGCCCTCGCCCTTGCTCCCGCTCCCGCAGCAGGGGCAGCAGCCACGGCAGCGCACCTTCTCCAGCTGGCTCGCCCCCAGCGGCAGCACCGCTCGCTGCGGCAGGCAGCCAGCCGCAGGCAGCCAGCAGCAGTAGCCAGCAGTCGGGCCACACTGTGCTGTCCTTTGCCGCCAGCGGCAGGGCTGGCGCCGGCGCCGCCGGCTCTGCTGCGGTAGGCAGGCCCGCTGGCACCTTCCAAGCCCTACTCACTTCAGCAGAGGCGCTGGTGGTTCAGGCGGCGGCAGCCAAGGCGGCTGCGCTGCTGGCAGCGGGGGAGCAGCTGGAGTGGGCGCCCGATGAGCAGCAGCCCAGCACGGCCTACAGCCCACACATCGACGAGCTCATCATGTATCTCAAGGCAAGCTGAGCTGGCAGGGCTACCCACCGTCAGAGCATGCGTAATGATACCATGACCTTGCTCGGCCACTTGCCCACCAGGTGTCTCGTGGCACACGCTCCCACTGCTGCCCTCCACTCTTCCACTCAATTGGCCGCAGGAGTGCGCCAGCCTGCTGAAGCGCTGTGCTCCGGGGCACAGCGTGGAGCGCATGCTGCGCGGCCTGCTGCGCTACATCGCCGATGCCATCATGCTGCAGCTCATGTCGGGTGGGTGGCCTTCTGGCTGGGCCAGCATGGCAGGCCAAGGTCTGCACGGTAGCGTGGAGGGGAGCCGTGGCGGGTTGGATCAAACATCTGTTTGGTGCGTCCTCGGTCGACTGGGATTGACGTCCAGAAACCCTCCCCTGCCCTTCCCTGGCCCGCACTGCAGACGCCGTCCCCGCCTTCAACATCTTTGGCCTGCAGCGCCTGTTCAGCGACCTGGGCGGCCTCAGGTGCGGCCCTGCACCGCAGCTGGTACTCCGGCATTGCGCCCACTGCTGTTGCTGGCCCCGTTCCCTGCACCGCATCCCCTGTTGGCCCACGCTGCATCCTGCTGCCTGTGCTGCCTGTTTCATTTCTGCAGCCGCACGGCGGGCAGCATGGGGGTGCCCGGCCTGGCGGATGAGCTGGCGGAGCCGCTGCTGTTCTGCGAGATGATGGTGTTTGGCAGGTGGGCGTGGGAGGCTGGCATTCATGCGCGCTGTGGCTCAACGGTTAGGCGGGCTGGGTTGCATTCCTCAGCCAGCCGACTTTTCAGTACTGACCTCTCTCCTCCACTCCCCCCCCCCCCCCCCCCCCCCGCCTGGCTGCAGCCTGGAAGATCTGCTGAGCCCCGAGCAGCGTGAGCCCGGCGGGCGGCTGGCGGCGCTGGACCTGCGGCGCATGGCGCTGGTGCTGGAGAAGTATCGGGAGCTGGACAAAGCCTCCGCCTTCTCCTCCATGCACAAGAGCAAGCAGGCCGAGGTGTGGGGCTGCTTGAGAATGGGGTGGGGCCTGGCTTGGTGGAGCAGGACCCTCGGGAGAAGCCCAGGGCAATCAAGTTGTTTTAGGTGCCGCAGCTACGGCGTCAGCTTGAAATGGATGCTCCGCTTTGTGGTTCTGCACGTGTACCAGCTGCTAATCCGTCCTTTGTACCAGCTGATAATCCGTCCCAACTGACTGCGTGCAGCGCTTCATCAGCCGCAAGACGGTGGACAAGGTGCTGCGGGAGCTGCGGGAGCAGACGCGCGGCAACTCGCGAGCCTCCTCCAGCGCCGGCTCCTTCACGGCTGCCCAGGCCGGCGGCGCCAGCCGTGGCGGCAGCTTCACCACCGCCACCAGGAGCGGTTGATCTGCTGCAAGGGCATTGATTCCGCTGTGCACTCTGTGCACTCACTTCTTCTGTGACTCAAACGGCCAACTTGGCCGGGCCAAGGGCATACCGCCTTGCTGAGGTGTCGCCCCGCCACCACCCTTCAGTGTTTCTGAAAGCTGGCGAAATCGCCAAATGCTGGCGAAATCGGGCCAAAAAACGGCTCTGGCTGGCGATTGGCCGAAGGCCATCGCCAGCCAGGGCTGGCTAAATGAGGGCAGGCGGCGGGGCGACATCGCCAGCGCGTCGCCAGCCCCCATGACTGACATCGCCAATATTTTGAGGAGAAATGGCCAATTTTCCTCAGGAACTTCACTCCATAGTGTTAAACAAGCGCCAGCTTGCTGGGGGCTTCGCCCCCAGTCCCCCAAAAGGGAGGCAAGTGCCGACAAAGCAACAGCGGCGCCGCATGTGGCCGCTGCGCTGTGCCAGGCGCAAGGGTGGCTCCCCCGCATTTCGCCAATCCTCAATGTGCCATCGCCAGCTGATTGGCGAAATTTTGACGCGACAGCAGTCCTCATCGCCCGCCCATCGCCAAAGCTGCCACGAGGGCCAGAAACACTGCCACCCTTCCTGCTACCTTTTCGACGATGCGACGATCTTTCGCTCGAATTGGGAACATTCATCCTCCCCTTCCCCTCCCCTAGGCTGCCAAGCACTGCACTTGTCAGGCGTGCGCGCAGATCGGCAACCGAACCTCCAATGGGGCGGTGCGCGGCGCTTGCAATGGGGCGGTGCGCGGCGCTTGGCCTGCTGCTGCTGGCGCTGCACTTCTGTGCGGCTCAAGGAAAAAATCCGGTCGTGAGACCGTCCAGCAAGGCGCCGGGAGGGCTCAAGGGGAGCGAGGTGCCACAATTCGTGATCTGGAGGCAAGTCGCGGGGGCCGTTGCAAGCCTGGGGAACGCTACCGGGCGTGGCAGACCATTTGACACGGGGCAATGATGGCCCCTGATCAACCGCAAGTGTCGGCGCATGGGTGCCCTGCCCCTACCCTGCAGTCACGACGATGAGGTCAGCCAGGAGAGCACCAAGCTGGTGCTGAAGATCGCAGACGCGAGGCAAAACCCCAACGGCTGCAAGCTGCCACTGACCTGGTGCGCCGCCCTTGGTGCCTGCCGAGCGGCGGCGCCAGCGCTTGCCACCGCAGTGCCACCTAACCTAGGTTTCCCTTGCCCAGCACTGACCGGCGCTGCCCACCTGTGACTTCCAGGTTTGCCTGCACCTCGCCAGCCTGCTCCTTTGAGTGCGGTTACGCCCGTGGCCTGCACAAGCGCGGCCACGAGATTGCCACCCACACCGTGACCCACGCCGGGCTGCGCTGGTTTGAGCGGGACGGGATTGAGGAGGAGATTGGCGGCGCTCGCGACGACATCGTCAAGTGCGGCATCCCTGCAGAGGATGTGGTGGGCTTCCGCACACCCTACCTGGCTGACAAGCCGGAGGTGCGCGAGACTCTGTACGAAGACGGCTTCAGGTGCGGTGGCGGAGGTGGGCGAGCGCTCCGCAAGCGGATTGCGCTGCGAGAGCTGGCATAGAGTTGTGGACCGCCTCGTCACATCATGGAGAAGTGATGTCAACAGTCCCATGCCTCCTGCGCATGCTGCAGGTTCGACAGCACCATTGGCGTGGCGGGTGGCGCCGACAAGCTGTGGCCTGCGACGATGGAGGACGGGGTGCCCTTTGACTGCGGCCACAGCTCCAACGACTGCGACAGCTCCGAGAGCCACCCGGGCATGTGGTGGGTGGCACTCTGCATGCTGAGCGTGCATGACGTGCCAGGAGGCCTGTCTTACACGAATGCTGACCCGCCAACCTGTGCACCCCCGCTACTGCTGCAGGCAGATCCCGCTCTACGTGGCTAAGTCTGGCAACCTGATGGATTACTGCACGGTCGTGAGTATCGAAAAGAGGGGATCGGGTAGCCTTGACAACCCGCCCACTCAGCTGGATCTGTCGCTGCCTGTCGCCTGCTGCTGCAGGAGGGTGATGGAAGCGCCAAGCCGGGCTGCAGCGCCTACAAGAAGCTGATGGAGACTTTCGACGAGGCATACAACGGCAACCGCGCCCCCGTGTCCATCGGCGTGCACAAGCCCTGTGAGTAGTAGCCCTGACATCACCAGACCATGAATGGCAGCGGCGGAGAGAAGGAGACCCCCTGGTGGGATAGGCCGGCCATGCGCCAGAGAAACAGAACTATTGCTGCATCCTCTGTGTGCAGACCTTCAGAAGAAGCAGTTCCACAAAGGTGCGTGCCGGCTGTGCAGCTGTACACCTGTGTTGTGTGCCCTGCTGCCCTCTCAAGGGTGAGCGCAGACTCACAAAAGGCTGCGCTGACTGCTGCAGACCTTGGGGAGTTCTTCGACTATGCGCTTGGCCATCAGGACGTGTGGTTCGTGACGCACTCGCAGCTGCTGGACTGGATGGAGGCGCCCGTGCCTGCCAGCCAGGTGCGGCGGCAGTTGGGCTGCCGGTACCGTCGCTGGGCAGCTGCAGTACCTTCCCCGTCCATCACACCACCTTCCGCGCTTGCTTTTTGCATTGCAGATGAAGGAGTTCATGGCTCGCTACGTTTGCCCATAATTTTGATTGAATTCTGCTTCACAAACCATTCCTGATTCTTCCAACAGGCGATGTTGCCAGTGATCTATTGTTGCATTCCCTGATTCATCCTGGGCGTTGCGTTGCATGCAAGATGCCCCCTGCCAATGCTGCACTGTGTGGGACCTCCGTTGCTGAGAAGCCGGAGCCAACTTGCCTGCCGATTTCTCATTGATTTGTAACCGTTGTCATACTCCCTGTAACGGACTGCACTGCTCCTCCACTTCTCATTTCTGGGTTGCAGTTGGGGGCAGCACGGGCCTAGGCCGCACGTGAAGCGGCAACTGCTGCGTCAACTGGTCAAATGCACAGCAGGCGATGTGGAACTGCATGCAGAGCAAAACCGCTCGGGGGGGCTCAAGCGGAGGACATTTGTTGCGTTGGGAGGGGGAGAGCGGCGGATGCACAACAAACAAGCAGGAAGAGGAGCGGAGCAGGGCAAAAAGGGTTGCGGGAAATCAAAGGCAACACACACCGCAGCAAGAGGGAGGAGAAGCAAGCGGGGTGGAAACTAGGAGTGTACAATGGCAAGCTGAAAGAGGGCAGGGGATGTGCAGGCGGGCAGTAGGCACATGAGCGGCAGGCTGCAGAAGCCTTGCTCGCGTGCTGGGCGAGCGCTGCAGCCTCTGCAATAGGGCGCCAGCGCAGCGCCAGCTCAGCGTGCCACCTCAGAAGAAGTCTTCCTCCTCGGACCACAGCGCCCCATCGCTGCCGCCATCCTCCTCCGGCTCCTCAAATTCTGTGAGGTCCACCTGCGACACGTGGACAGCAGCAGGGTGGATTGGGAGATGCTCGGAGCTGTCGGCAGGCGGCAGAGCCCAGTCCCTGCCCGCCCCCCAACACATCCCCCCGCCCTCTCACCGAGTAGCGCAGCACGCCGCCGATGCCGCCAAAGCCCTTGCAGAACTGGTTGCCCTCCTCCGACCTGTCGGTCACAAACTCCAGCAGGCACCCAAACTTCTTGTAGCTGTTGGCCAGCCACTCCAGCATGGGTTGCTGCAGCAGGGGCGTGGTGGCGGTGGTTAGCGGAGCAGTGGAGGGGGGTGGGGGAAAGCAGCGAGATGACAGGGACTGAGCAAGTGAGTGCACAAGGGAGGATGGGCAGGCGCATGCGCAGCACATGCGCAGCGCAAGGTGCGAGCAGGGCCCACCTTGTCCGTCACTTCCAGGTCGATGTTGGTGGCGGGGTCCTTGAAGTGCTTGCTCTCCGTCTCCTGCTCCTTGGTCAGGTACTTGACCTCCTGAACGCCTGCGGGAAGAAAGGAAGGAGGGAAGGAAGGAAAAGCAGGGGCAAGGAAGGGTGAAGAAACTAGGCATCACGCGCGCACTGCCACGTGTCGAGTTCCACACAAGACATACAGAAACCAGCCGCCCCAGCCGCCCTCTCCCTCTCACCTGAGGTGGTGTTTGTGAACTCGTATCGCTGCATGTCCAGGTTCTCCCACACGATCAGCGTCTCCACCGCGCCCATCTCCAGGCACGCCAGCGTGTCCTTCACCCCAAACACAAACTTGCCCGTGTCCTGGCTGATTTGGTCGAAGAAGCTGCAGGTTGGGGGGGAGGCGGGAGAGGCGGGGCGGGGCACTCAGCAGACGAGACGCCTGCGTGAACGCGCAAATCCAGAGCAGCTCCCCACCACCATGCACTGCCTCCACCTTTACCGTACCTGCTGATCAGCCGCTTCTCCTGCACAAACTTGACGTTGGCCAGCGTCTCCGCCGACAGCTCAATGGCCTGGTTGAAGCCGTTCTCTCCGCCTACAGGCAGGGCAGGCAGTCAGGCAGGGCAGCGTAGAAACTGAGAGGATGAGCCGGTGCAGGAGCAGGATGGCAGGATGAAGGTTGTGAGCAGGCAGGAGGATGGGATGGTGGCAGGGTAGAAGAGGTAGGGGCGAGAGGAATGTGCCAGCCCTCCTCAGCAGGTTCAGCTGCTCAGCGCCTCGGCGAGGCTCGCAGGCCGGTGCTGGGGGGCTGCCCGCAGGTTGTGCGACCAAGCGGCGGGGGGGCTGCTGTGGGGTGGCCATTTGATCAACTGCCATATGCGTGGCGGAGCGCCACCGGCAGGAAATTGGTAAGGCACCCGGGCATGCGACAACACGGTGCAGCCGCCAGAGACGATGCACCAGATACAGGCCACAGCCCATCCCTCCCCAACCCTGCCCCGCCCTGCCCCGCCCCTCTCACCGTACGACACATCCACCACCGCCAGCACCACGGCCTGCAGCCGCGGGTCAAACATGTCGCTCTGCGACAGCTCCGTCTTGAAGTCTGCCGACCCCGCCAGCACCAGCCCCGCCACGTTGGGCCGGTCGTTGGTGATGAAGAACTGCAACGGGAGGGAGGGTGTGCGGGGGAAGGAAGATAGGTAGGTGGGCCGAAGACGTTTCTGATGCCCAGAGCAGCCTCGCATTACGAAGCGCTGCCCCGACCACAGCCGGCACCACAGGCGTCCCCACAGGGGTCGTGCCGTGCCATGCCGCACCTGCACCGCCAGCTCCGCCACCTTGCGGACGTAGTTGTGCCGCTTCTCCATGCGCAGGCGCGCAAAGCGCAGCGCCGACTGCCCGCCGCGGCCGTGCTTCTTGGGGAGGTCAACAGACACCTGGAGCGAAGGGGAAGCAGAGGGCCGCGGGCGGGGCGTCGTTGTCGGCGGGAGCCTGCGGGAGTCGGCAACCAACCAGCAGCAGGCGGCAGCAGCAGGCGTGCAGCTGCAGCCGCGGGAGGGGCACCGAGAGGACAGCTGCGCCGGCCGCTGCCTGTGCACAACACACCCCTGTGCCCTGCTGCCGCAGGAGGTCCCAAGCAGCTGGCGCCCACCTTGTGCAGGATCTCGCGGTTGTTGCCGCACAGCGTGCCAAACAGGCTGCCGTTGCCGTCCATGACGATGAAGCCATACCTGCAGGAAGGCAGTGGTGCACAAGCCGTTTGGGGCCTGCCCTCTGGTTCTGCCACGGGCTGCTCGCCTGCTGCCGCTGTGTGCTGCCAGAACCGACGGTGCCAGCAGCGCTCTCCCGCCGTGGAGGGCAGCGTGTGCCCCTCTGCCTCCGCGCTGGCTTCAGTACAGGCCCAGCGCTCCGCCCTAGCCCCCCAACCCCCCTGCCCGCCTCACTTGTTGTCTGCCTCAAGCAGCTCGTTCAGGGCCTCCGTGTGGAACTTGTTGTCGCAGAGGTAGAGGGAGGTGTTAATGGGCTTGAAGGGCTCGAAGTCGATGTTCATCTTCTTCTCCTTGCCGTCGTCCGTCATCACCGTGCCCGTGTACACCACCAGGCCGTTTGGCGGCACGCGCGTGTACAGCTTCAGGCGCTGCTGCGCGCTGGTGATGGCGGCCAGCACCGACTGGCGGTTGACGCGCGACTTGATGTTGGAGGCGGTGCCGTACTCGTTGGCAAGCATGGCCGATGTCTGGGCCACCTGCATCCGGGGCCGAGAGGGCGGAGGGGCAGGGGAGGCCGTAAAGAGGTTTGGTCGTAAAGAAGTCGGCTGCCGAAGAGCGGCCGCCAGTATGTGCTGAATCGCCGCCATGCGCAGCTGGCTGGCTGGGCGAGGAGAGGAGCATGGAGCATGGCAGAGGTGCACTCCAAGCCAACAATCCAAGCCTCCTGCGCCCAGCCAGCTGCACAGGGCTGCAAGGCCGCCGGCAGCGGCAGCGAGCGGGCGGCCGCCGGGCGGCACCTGCGACTTGGGCGGCATGATGAGGCTGATCATGGAGGTGCCGTTGCCTCGCGCATTGTCCAGCGCTTTGATTAGCTGCGGCAGGGGGGCGCGTGGGGCTGTAAACGGGCTGCTGCACAGCGAATGGACCGGCAGCGTGCGCCCAGCGGGTGATGGCGGCGCTCACCCGCTTGACCTTCCAAATTTCAATCTGCTGGTCAGCGTCCGTCTTATCCCCCATATTGCCGGCCGCTGCACACCACCAAACTGGACTCCTGTCCGCTGCCGGCTTGCTGGATGTCGCCTGAGACTCGCAACAGCTGGAAGCAGCAGTGCCGATCAGGCAGGGCGGGGAAAGAGGCGTGGGGAGGTGAGCACAGCGCAGGAAATCCGCAGCCACGCTGGACTTTTTGGCGGCGCAGCCGACCCTGGGTGCCTGTATATTCAGCTCCCCTCTGCTGCTGCTATTGCAGAACTGTGGATTCCAGCTGGCCGCACCACCACTGCATGCGCCTCGCACATGCAGGCGGTGAACGAAGTGCCCCTGGCGCACCTAGCGGCACGCTACAGTGACGGCGAAGACGACGGGGAGACGCAGCAGGCATGCGCGCCCGCCACGCAGCAGGCAGGCGTGGGGCCGCCGCCGCCACGAGCGGCGGCGGCGCCCGCCGCCGCCAGCGCCGAAGTAGAGGCGGTCAGCGGCAGCGAAGAGGATGAGGAGTGGGAGGACGAGGACTGGGACAGCGAGGATGAGGAGCTGGCTTCGGCGATGGAGTGGGCAGACCTGCGGGAGGGTGAGCGGTGGGATGCGCTGTGCGGAGGGGAAAGTCCGCGTCGATGCCACCCCACTCACCCCGACTGCCCGCTTCTTCGGCGCCACCTTCGCGATGCTCACCTCCCCGGGTGCGGCCCCGCCTGCCTGCTACCTCGCTGCAGTGCAACAGGCGCGCGGCAACAGCGGCGGCACGATGACGCTGCCGGGGCACCGCCCCAACGCGCACGGCGGCGCGCTCAACCGCCCGCAGCACACCAAGCTGCTGCCCACGGCGGGCAACATGGGGCGCCTGGACACACACTTCAACGCAGGGGCGGTACAGCTGCGGGACGATCTGCTGGACACGCTGGGCGGCTACGCCGGCAGCGCCGGCTCGGCCGTGCACAACCAAGTGCGGGCGGCGCACAGCGGCAAGGCCGCCACCGCCGCCGCCACGCGCAGCAAGGACCGCAGCGACCGCGCCACAGGTGGGTGGCTGCCTGCTGGCGCCTGGCAGGCCGGGCGGGGAGGTTGGGAGCATGCAGGCCGCGCCATCTCATCCGCCTCTCCTTTGCCACCCCTTGCTGCGTCCCTCGCTCGGCACTGGTGCACCCCACCCCGCCACAGGCAGCCCCCACCCCACCTCTCCCCACCCCCACTGCCACCACCTGCTACGCCCGCAGTGGAGCAAGTGCTGGACCCCCGCACCCGCATGGTCCTGTTCAAGATGCTCAACCGCGGCGTGTTTGCCGAGATCAACGGCTGCGTGTCGACGGGCAAGGAGGCCAACGTGTACCACGCCAGCGGAGCGCCACCTGGCAGCGCTGAGCTGGCCATCAAGGTCTACAAGACCGCCATCCTGGTGTTCAAGGACAGGGACAGGTGGGCTGGGGCTGGGACTGGGGCTGGGCGGCAGCAAGGCAGGGCAGGGGCGTGGGAGACGCCTGCCCCTCCCCCCCTTGATGTCGCTCGCCCGCACGCCTTCCCACCTCACCTCACCACGTTACCTCACAACACAACCCCCACCACCTCCACCGCTCCACCCCCACCCCCCACCCCGCAGGTACGTGGTGGGCGACTCCCGCTTCCAGCGCTACTGCAAGTCCAACCCGCGCAAGATGGTGAAGCTGTGGGCGGAGAAGGAGATGCGAAACCTGGCGCGCCTGCACGCGGCGGGCATACTGTGCCCCAAGCCGCTGCAGCTGCGCCTGCACGTCCTGGGTGAGCTGGCGGGGGAGGGAGGGAGGCGCGACGGGCGGGGCGTGGCGGGCAAGGCGGGCTGCTGGGATGGGGTGGCCGGTGGGCAGGTTTCCGGGAAGCGGGGGCGGAGTGGAGGGTGGGAAGCGAGGGCCAGCCGACAGTCTGCGTGCTGGCTGTGGCTAGAGTGTGCAGTGCGCTGCCGCTCCCAGCTGACCGCCGTCATGTTGCTGCTGCTGCGACCGGGCGCAGTGATGGAGTTCATTGGTGAGAACGGGGTGGCGGCGCCGCGGCTCAAGGATGCGGGGCTGCCCCCGGCCCGCATGCGGCAGGCATACACGGGTGAGGGCCAGGCGCCCGCTGGGCTCTGCAGGGGGCCAGCCTGCCCGGCCGCTGCGCGCCTGCCACCCCTCCCCACGTTGCCCTCCGCCCCACCACGCACGCATGCTGTTGCCCCATCACACACGCACAGCCATGCACCCCACCCAGCCTCCCTCTCCCGCCTTGCCTGCAGACATGGTGGTGATGGTGCGCACCCTGTACCAGAAGTGCCGTCTGGTGCATGCAGACCTGTCGGGTGAGGGCGCTGCCTCGTGGATCCCCTGCCTTCCCAGCCAACTGCCAGCCAAGTGCACTTGCATGCCTGGCCTGCACCTCCTTCCCCCCAGCCCGCCAGGGCCTGCCCACTCCCACTCGCCCTCCCGCTCCTCCTGTGCATGCCCTGCCCTGCCCTGCCCTGCCCTTTGCTGCCCTGCCCTCCTGCCCTGCTGCAGAGTACAATGTGCTGGTGCACAAGAACGAGCTGTACTGCATAGATGTCAGCCAGGCAGTGGAGCTGGATCACCCGCGCGCCTTTGACTTCCTGCGGGAGGGTGAGCCGCTGCTGATGGGCTGCCGACGTGCGCCGCAGGCTGTGTGTGCAGTGCGTGCTCGCCGCTCTTTCATTCCGACAGACGCTGGCACGTCGCCGCGCCGCCCGTGTGGTTTGCATCTGCCGCATCCGACACCGGCGCTGCATCTGATGCCCCTGCCTGCCCTGCCCTGCCTGCGCGTCCCCTGCCCACAGACTGCCTGCACGTCAACGATTTCTTCCGCCGCGCGGGCGTGGCCACGCTGACTGTGCGGGAGCTGTTTGACTTTGTGGTGGACCCGGGCATACAGGAGGGGGCGGGCATAGATGCGGAGCTGGACCGGCTGATGGAGCTGGCCTGCAGGTGGGGGCAGGCCGGCCGGGCTGGGCAGCTGTGCGGCAGTAGTGGCGGGGTTTGGTTGGTGTGTGTGCGCGCATGGGCATGCGTGTCTGTGCATGGCGGTGTGTGGCGCGGCAAGCAGGGGAGTGCAGCGCGTCGTCCGCCGCATGTGCCCCGGCGGCGGACCCCGGTGCGCACCCTCCCTTGCCTCCTGGGCGAGGCACTTGGCATGACCGCGCATGCACCCCCTGCCACCCCCTCTGCCGCAGCCGCCCCGCCACCATGAGTGCTGAGCAGGAGGTGGCGGATGCTGTGTTTGCCCAGGCCTACATCCCTAAGAAGCTGGATGAGGTGGCCAACCCGGAGCGGGACCATGCCCGCCTGGCGGCCGGCACGGACACAGGTGGGCGAGGTGGTACCTGTGCGTGGTGTTGTGGGTGGTGATGGTACCTGCTGGCCCGCAATCGCCGCCTGCCTGCCTGCCCACCTCTTCGCTGCCTGCCCGCGCGGACACAGCGGCCGGAGCGGACACGCCCGCCTGCCTGCCCTGTCTGCCTTACCTGCCTGCCTACCTTACCTGCCTGCCTGAAATTGCAGAGGGTATCTACTATCAAGCGCTGGCGGGCATGAAGCAAGACATGAGCGGGGCCCGCGCGGCACCAGCGGCCGGCAGCAGCAGGCAGCAGCAGGCAGCCGCGCCGCCCTCAGCGGCAGCAGCAGTGCAGCAGCCGGGGCAGCAGCAGCAGCAGCAGCAGCAGCAGCAGCAGCAGCAGCGGGGAGCGGGGCCAGCGGCCAGCCAGGGTGACGGCGCCGCCGTCGCGGCGGCGGCGCTGCCCTCGGGCCTGAGCGACGCAGGCGACGGGGACTGCGGGGCAGGTAGCGACGGAGAGGCCTCTGCGGCGTCACCGCTGTCTGCCGCTGCAGCAGCAGCAGCAGCAGCGGCCCCAAAGAAGAAGCGGGTCACATTTGCGGATGAGCTGTCTGGCAGCGAGAGCAGCGAGGGCGAGGGGGAGTGGGAGGAGCGGCCCAAGCTGAGCCGGGACCAGATCCGGGAGGCGCGGCGGGAGCACAAGAAGGAGACCAAGGCGGCCAACCAGGAGCGGCGCAAGCAGAAGATGCCCAAGCACGTGAAGAAGCGGGCGGTCAGCAAGGGCAAGGCCAAGAAGTGAGGGGCGCGGCGCGGGCCAGCCCTCTGGCGGCTCCCGAGGCCTCCTGTCTGTTGGCCACTGGGTGGCACCCTGTTGTGTCGATCTCTTGCTGTGGCTGCCAACCTGACTCTCTAGCTCGTCGCTTGACACATGGGCACAACAGAAGCAGGGCACAACAGATGCCGGGGGATGCTCCTAGTGGAAAAAACAAGGGGGAAAGAGAGAGCCATGCAAGGGCCATCCATCCACACAGACGGATGGGCACTTGGGGAAGAAGTTGGAAAGGAAAAAATCCTCAAGTGGACGCAGGAGTGGATCCTTTGAATGCTGTGCACACACTCGGGGCGTGGCAGGGTTGGTGGGACTTGCAGGGCGGGAGTGCTGACAATGTGCGGGTGTTTCAGGTCTTGGGACAGGCATTAAGGGCATGCATGGGAGCAGGTCGACCCCATTTTGAGGGCAACAGGCGGTGTCAGGCGATCAAGGGAATGGCTCGGCAGGCGTGAATCAAACTGTTGACGTCGCTGTAGCGGCTGGCCAGGCGCCGGCCGACAGCCCCAGCGCGCAGGCGGTGGGAAACAAAATGGAAACACACACAGGTGCACAGGGGGTCCTGTAGGTTGCTGCCAAGGAGGCGCCTGCGGCGCGCAGCCCGGCTCTGGGCAGCTGCACCGTCAGAAAGCACTCGGGACATGAGGCAACACGGCTGTCGCGGCACACGATTCGCGAGCCCTGGGCATCAGGCATCGTCGTTGCTGGTGGCGGAACGGCGGGTGCCCGCAGCCCCGCACGCCTCAAGGGGTTGGTCCGACATCGTTTCCAGAAAGATGCGGCGGGCGCGCTTCTCTGCGCCAGGGCAGGCAGGCGGGCGGGCAGGCAGGCAGGCAGGCAGGGGCAGGCGGGTGAGTGGTGCAGGTGAGGAGGCACACGAGGCAGGAGGGCTGGCTGGACATGCAAGCTGCTGCGGCGGCAAGTAGGCTCGAGGGCGGGGACCCCAGGCGCACCTGATGCGTATACCAGCGTGCAGGGCAGCGCGAAGCAGGCCAGCGCCTGCCAGAGGACCATGAGCACGGTGCACACCCCGCCTGCAGGCAGCGACGGGGCGGGGCAGGAGGGTCAAGACACGGGGCAGGCCAGGTAGGTGGATGGCTGGATCCATTTCAACCGCAAGCGGGACGCCGCGAGGGGCACAGGCCACCAGGCCTGCATGCGCAGCGGCTCGCCCCGGCCGCAGCCTCGTCCCGGCCGTGCGCCCGCGCCCCTGCTGCTGCGCGCCTGGCAGGAAAGGGAAGGCTGCGGCGCAGACGGCGTCGTTGGCGGCGATGGCGGAGGTGAAGTGGAAGAGGCCGACGAGCAGGTGCGTGCAGAAGCGCATCTTCATGCCAAAGGACAGCATGTGGATCTGGGCCAGCGAGGACGACTCCAGCAGCGCGACCGTGGGGTTGTAGGTGGCGGAGAAGACGGTGCCCACGGGCGGCACCAGCGTGACCGCCGTCTGCGCCAGCTTGTGCGCCACGTGGCTGCACACGCACAGCGGCTCGCGCCAGCGCACGTATGTCCCCGGGAACAGCACCGCCATCTGCATCATGGCCGCGTTGCCCGCCATCAGCGCCACCATGGCCACGCCCAGCCAGGAGGCGGCCAGGGACCAGCGAAAGATCCACGCGCCCTGGCTCAGGGTGGCGATGACCAGGAAGGCAATGTCGACTGGGACCTGCGGAGGGGCAGGCAGGGGCAGGGGCAGGGGCACGACGGTGGCGGTGAGCTGCGCGGCGGCTAGACCCGATTAGGGTGGGTGGCGGTGGGTGGTGGTGGATGGCGGGGACAGGAGCACACGCATGCACACTCTGCGCAAAGTCCAGGGTCAGCAGCAGAAGCGCAAGGCGCACATGCAGGCGCGCAGGCTGAGCGCATTGCCCAGCAGGGACTGAGCGTGGATGTGGCGTTCGCGGCGCCCGCCCCTCACCTGCCCAGAGGAGTACCAGGCCTGGTAGCGGCACTCCAGGGCCCGGTTGCAGAAGCGCAGCAGCGCGCCCTGCTCCCGCTCCTTGGCCAGGCATGCCTTGAGGGCGGCCTTGGTGGCGGCCACGGCGTCCTCCTCCTCCTCCTCCTCCTCCTCGGCCCCGCCCGCACCCGCCTTGCCCGCGCCCAGGCTCTTGCTGGGATTGCGTGACGACGAGGCGCTGTCGGTGGCGGGCTTGCGGCGGTGCAGGCCGGACTTGGGGGCGGGGTCGGCGGGCAGCGGCGGCGGCGCCTCAACGCCTCGCGCCGCGCCGCAGGCGGCCGCGGCGGCCACGCCTGCGGCGGCCGCCTCGTAGTGCTTGGTGGCCAGGAACCGCTCCAGCACACCCGCGGTGCCGGTGCGGCGGGCAAAGTCGATGGGCAGGGATCCGTCCTCGGCGGTGGCGCGCTCCCAGCCGCCCGCCGCGTCCGCGCACCGCTGGCTGAGCAGCGACATGATGGCGCCGCCATCGCGCACCAGGCCCGCCAGGTGGAGCGCGGTCAGGCCGCGGCGGCCGGGGGTGGTGGAGCGGAAGACGTGGCCGTGCTGCGCGCCCCAGTCCAGCACCGCGGTCACCAGCTCCAGGCACTGGCTGCGCACCGCCAGCTGCAGCAGCGGCATGCCGGTGGTGCCCACGCACATGATGTCCACCGCCGCCATCGCCTCGCCCGGCGACTGGTCCGCGGCCACCGCCGCCAGCAGCGTGCGGGTGGCCGCCACCCACTTGCGCTGCACCGCGTAGGCCAGCAGGCGGCGGCTGGACTTGCCCAGCACTGCGGGGGAGGCGGCAGAACAGGGGAGGAGCCAGAGGGCGGCACGGTCAGCAGAGGAAGCATTCAGCCGCTGCTGCCCACGCACCCCACAGGTGCCCACAGCACCACGCCCGCCCACACGCAGCCCAGCTGCAGAGCCTCTCCTCCTCCCTCCCTGCCTTCCCTCCTCCCTGCCTCCCCACGCCTCCCTCTCTCCAGCCAGCCAGCCAGCCAGCTCCAGCGCGGGCCTGCAGCTCCTGCAGCCCCTGCAGCTCTCGCTCACCCTCGCGGTCGGCGTCGCTGTACTCGCGCCCGCCGGCGCCATACTCCCCAGAGGCGGCCAGCTGGAAGAGCAGGGTGTCCACGTCGGTGGCGCCGTCCTCGGCCTCCAGGCTGCGCACCTCGGCCGCCAGGGCGCGGTCATGGCTCACAAGCATGGCCTGCGTGGGTGTGGGGCAAGAGGACGGGGTGGGGTGAGGGCGGGGCTGGGGGAAGCAGCTGCCAGATGCGGCGCCCGAGCGAGGAGGACCTGGAGGGTGGCACGCCCCGAGCTGAGCCGGCACAGGCACGCAAGGGCAGCGCCGCACGCGGGCCAGGCCCCCACGCACACCACGCACACCCCGCGCCGACGGCAGCGTCAGCGGCAGCAGCCGCGGCAGCAGCAGCGGCGGCCCTGCCCCAAGGTGCAAGACGTAGGTGGGCCCACGCCCCACAAAGCCCCACCTTGGATCCCGAGATGTAACCGCCACGCATCACCTCCAGCTGCACGGCGCCGCCGGCGCGCAGGCCCGACAGGCGCAGGCTGAGCTTCTGCATGCCCTGCCAGGCGGGCTCCGCCTCCAGGCTGAGGCGCTCCACCTCGGCATACGCGCCTGCAGGGGCAGCAGAGGGGTGGCGAGCTTAGCAGTCAGGCCATGCCCTTGGTGCTTGTAACCTCCTGTGCAGGCTTGGCTTGGCGGGAGGCCAGGCCAAGCAGCTGCAGCCAGCGCGCGGGCAGCCAGGCCCGGGCGGCCGGCCAGGCGTGGCGGGCGCCGCGCGCAGCTTTGCCGAGCGCTCGGCAGCCGCCAGGCGGCCTTGCAGCATAGCACAGCCACCCGAGACCAGCGCAGCTGCCGGCGCGTGGCCGGGGCGGGGAGCGCCACGCGGCCGCACTCACCCCTGCAGCGCGCCAGTACCGTGTCGTCCTCTTGGCCCAGGTTGTACCCCCATACCGCCACCTCGCAGCAGCCGGCGGCGTCGGGCTCGGCCACCAGCGGGCGCAGCGCGGCGACGCGCGGGAAGAGGGAGGAGGAGCCGGTGGCCAGCACGTGCACCACGCGGCCCTCCCGCACCAGCGCCAGCTTGTCGCCCAGCTGCACCAGCATCGCGTGCTGCGACCAAAAGGCGTCGGGCTGGCGCGCCACCAGGCGCTCAACCACCGCGCGCACGCCGCTGGAGGCCAGCAGAGCGCGCTCCTCGGGGCCCATGAGCGCGTTCACTGCACGGCGGCGGGGCCGGGACGGGTGGGGGAGGGAGGCAGGGAGGGGCGGGGTGGGGGAGTGAGCGGCAGGGCCAGGGGCTGTGGCGGCGGCCAAGGACCGTAGGCGTGGCGCCGCAGCGGCCGCGAGGGCCCGCGTCTGCTTGGCCGCAGGTCGAACGCTGCAGCTGTGCAAGGCAAGGGCAAGGGCGGCTGCTGGGGGGCGCCCCGGGTGCCTTACTACCTGTGATGTGCACGCAGCCGGGGCGCAGGTAGCCCTCCATTGACTGACAGGAGAGCATGTTGACCAGGGAGGCCTTGAGGTCGGAGGGCAGCTGGGCGGGGGTGCAGTTGAAGAGCTTGGCGCTGAAGCGAACCAGCTTCTCCTCAGGAACATACGTGATCTGGGGTGGGTGGCAGGGGAGGGGAGGGAGGAGCGGCGCCATGAGCCGGCCGCTGGCGGGTCGGCAGGCCGTGCAGACGCCCGCAGGAGACAGGCGCGCCAGATGCGGCGGACGGCAGCGAAACACGCGCGGCAGTGCCGACAGCAGCCAGCCCGGCAGCAGCAGCCCACCAGCAGCGGCCTGCAGCAGGCAGCCTGCCCCCCCTCCATACACACACCTGCGCCGAGTCGTAGGACAGCAGGTTGAGCGCCTCATCCAGCACCGATCCCGGCAGCGGTGGCGGCGCGCCCAGGTCCATGGCTGTGGCCGAGGAGCGCACCGAGCCGGGGGACTCGACGCGGCCGCCGCCCAGCGCATCCAGGCGCAGCGCGCCGGGCAGCGGCGGCGGCGGCTGCAGCGCGCCGCCAAACGCCGTCGCGCCGCCCAGCAGGCCCGGGAAGGCGGCGGCGGCGTGCTGGGCCGCCAGGTAGGGCGGCAGCTGGGGCATGACGGTGTCGGAGGAGGAGGGGGTGGCGGGCATGGAGGAGAGCACGTGGCGCGGGATGCCGGGGGGCAGCGCCGCGGCGGGCTGGGGCCAGGCGGCGCCGGGGCCGCCCGCCAGCGGGGCGCGCTGAGCTGGCAGCTGCGCCGCCGCCGCGCCCGCCATCAGCTCCTTGGTCAGCTGCTCCAGCCCCGCCATGTCATCCAGGTCCATGGCAGAGGCGGCATCCATCTGAGGCGGGGAGCAGGTGGGACAGAGCAGGTGGCAGGTGGCAGGCGGCAGCGGGAGGCAGAGCAGGCAGGGGTTAGAAGGGAGGCGAGGGAGCGGGGAGGAGGCAGGGAGGCAGCGCAACACACGGTCCCCGGCGCTTCGGGCGGCCAGGCACGCAGGCGTGTGGGCTGCAGGCGTGCGGGTCGCAGGCGGGCGCGCAGGGGCGCGGGTGCGGCAGGGAACTACCTGCAGGAAGTTGGCGGCGGCCTGCTGGGGGGGGCCCACAGGCTGGCCGGCGCCGGCAATCAGGCCCTGCGCCATCATCGGGTTGAACACCTGCGGCGGAGCAAGAGGCAGCAGAAGGTGGGGAGGGGTTGACAGGGTGGGGGGGGCTGGGATGGAGGATGGAGGATGGAGGCTGGGTGGGGGCAGAGCGCTGCGCACGCAGCAGCCCGCAGACGCCGAGGGCCGGGCCGGGCGCGGCAGGCGGCAGGCGGCGGCCGCGGCGGCGGGGCGGGCGCGCGGGGGGCCCTGCTGACAGCTGCAGGCTGGTCCAGAAGCGAGGAGGAAAGGCGGCGGGAGGAAAGCGCACCTCATCCAGGAAATCGTCGTCCAGCAGGAGCGCGCCCATGGCGGCGCCGGAGGGCAGGGTGGTGGCGGGCGCCGCCGGCGGGCGCGCCATGCCCGCGGCCGCCGCCTGCGCCGCCTCCTGCGCCGCCTGCTGCAGCTGCAGGTGCTTCAGCAGCGCCGACGCCTGCGCGTGCTGCTCCGCCTCGCGCTGCGCGCCGGCCGCGGAGGCGGGGGAGGTGCTGGTGGCGCCCATCTCTGTGGGCTGCTGGCTGGCGGAGCCGCCCGAGGGGCTCCTGTGGGTGCCCGCGGCGGAGGGCCCCGCGCTGCCGCTGCGCGCGGGCTTGGCCAGCGGGAAGCCCTGCTTGGCCATGCGGGCCAGCTTGGGCGCAATCTCCTCCTCCGTCAGCCCGTACTTCTCGGCCAGCAGCTTCTCGTCGACCGTGCCCGTCTTCTTGAGCATGTGCGCCATCTCGCGCTGGCGCCGCCGCCGCGCGTTGTGCTTGTCCAGGCGCGCGCGGCACGACCGCTTCTCGCCGTCAAAGTCCTCCAGCGGCTGGAACTTGCCGCACTGCTGGCAGAAGCGGTGGGGCAGGCCGTCCTTCTGCACCACGTGCGCCTTGAGGTGCAGCTCGCAGATCTTGTACCGGCTGTGGTAGTCCTTCATGCCGCCCACCTCGATCGTGCAGCCGTCCACCTGCGGCAGGGAGGAGCGCGAGGGGCGGGGCAGGCGGGCAGGGGGCTGGGTGGGAGCTTGGGGCAGCAGGGCGAGCGTGGCGAGGCACCGGCAGAGGTGGGTATCCCCCAAAGGGGCACACAAGCGGTAACCGCGGCGGCGGGACCCGCTCCGCGGCGGCCGCCGCGCCGAGCCGGCCAGCGGCAAGACGTGCGGCGAGAGGCGGATGCAGGGCAGGCACGAGATGGCACGCGGAGCGGGCGCGGCGAAGAGGCACACAGCAGCACAGGGCCACGGGCGGGACCGTGCGGACGCGGGGCACAATCTTGTGGTGTGCATGGGCCAGGGTGGCACCCTCTGTGGGGACCGGCAGGTTCCCTCCGCAAGTGGCCGAAAGTGCAGGGGCACATGCGGTTGGCGGGCAGCTGCTTGCGTCCCGCACCTGGCAGCCCAGCTTGCCGCCGTCGGCGGCGGTGTTCCTCTGCAAGCCCTTGCCACCAGCGGCCTTGCTGGCTGCCGCATCGGCGGGGGTGGCCTTCAGGCCGTGGGGGTCCCACTTCCAGTCTGCCTGCTGCCACACTGCATCGTCCACAAAGGCCATGGCGCGATAGGGGGCCCGGCCGGCGTCTGGTTGGGCCGTCAGCCCTCAATGAGGCTGCCCTCAGTGGGCACTCGAACAGGGAGGGGCGTGGTTCCTGCAGCGTGGGCAGCAGGGTGAGGGAGGGAGGAGTATCCCCTCTAAGAGACCGCTCCCTCACAGTCAGGCAGTCCGGCTCCGTCCAGCAGCTGCGCTGCACAGACCCCCGGCACCGGGAGGAGCAAAGCTTTGGGCTCTGCCCTTCGGGCTGTGCGGCGGGGATGGGGCTGTGTAGCTGCGCCCGCTGGGCCGCCGCTGCGCCGCCCAACATGCTGCCGCCCGGGTCCCGGCGCTTGCTGGGAGGTGCGGCCCCGCTGCTGAGTTTTCCCAGTCATGCCTCGCCCCGCATTCCCACCTGGCGAGTTAGTGGCACGTTGGGAGGCCAGAATGACGGTTTACGATTTGCAATGTGTGTAAGCAGCGCCGACGGGGTGGCAAGGCGGGTCTGCCTACCTGCATTAATTGCTGGAAAGACGAAGAATGGCCATGCCGCCGGGCAAATGGCGCGCTCCGTGCTGCACTGCCAGTGTTGCAGTCTCGTGCGGAGTCCCACCTCGCCTGCCTCGGCCCCAGCGATCGCGGCGACAGCGGAACAATGGGGGACCCCTTGTTTGGCCTGCGCAACTCCTTCCACATAGGCGCCTTCCAGACCGCAATCAGCGAGGCCAGCCAGCTCACGGGGCTGAGCGAGGCGGAGAAGATCGAGCGGGACGTGTTTGTGTATCGCTCCTACATCGAGCTGGGCAGCTATGAGGTGCGGCGGAGGGGCTTATCAGGCGTCCGGCGGGTGGCGGCCACCGACAACGGCCTGCCGGCAGCGGGGCGCCCACACCACCGCCACGCCGCAACCGCCTCCCACCCCTCCCCATGCCTTCTGCTCTGTCCCAAGCACTGCCTGACCCCCCCACACGCCTGCCGCCTGCAGCTCGTCATGTCGGAGATCTCGGGGGCCTCGCCCATGTCGCTGCAAGCGGTCAAGGCCCTGGCTCTCTACATGAAGGACCAGCGGGAGGCGGCGCTGGAGGCGGCGGCGAGCTGGCTGACCGACCCCGCAGCGGCCAGCAACTCTACTGTGCTGCTGGTGGCGGGCATGCTGTATGCGCTGGAGGAGAACTACGTGGAGGCGCTCAAGGCGTGCCACACCGGCGGCAGCCTGGAGATGTGAGTCGCGGTGCACTCTGATCAGGCGTGCTGAAGGGTCGCTGGCTGGCCGGCGTGCGGGAGGGCCGTGCGCAGCGGGCACCCAGCTTGCTGGCAGGGAGGCAGGCGGCCAGACGGCTGGACAAGGGATGGCAGCATACGGGCCGCAGAGTTTGGGCAGGCAGGAAGTGTGAAAGTTGTGTGGCCCCACTCAAGTCCTCCTACCCAGGCAGGCGCTGTACGCTCCCCACCTCTCGCTGACTGCCCTGTTGCGCCTCGTGTGCCCTGCCCTGCTGCCTGCAGGATGGCGCTGTGTGTGCAGGTGTACCTCAAGATGGACCGAGTGGACCAGGCGGAGAAGCAGGTGTGTGGGGCTGGTGTCTGGGGTTGTCTGTGGTGGTAGTGGCAGTTTGGGAGAGCACATGCGTGCCAGCTTGGAGTGAGCTGGCTTGCCAGCTCGCGTCTGGCATCTCTGCATCCCCAGGCAGACTCCCCATCCAGCTGCTCCTGCTGTGCCTGCTGTGCACCCGGTGCGGGCACACGACGCTGAGCTGAGCCTGGCCGCCGCTGCCACCGCCGCAGGTCAAGGCGATGTCAGCGGTGGACGACGACGCAACGCTGTCGCAGCTGGCGGCGGCGTGGGTGGGGCTGCACCAGGTGCGCAGGCTGGCGCAGGGGCGTGGGTTGGCCCACGGGGCAAAGCGGGAGTAGTTGGCGCAGCGCTGCGCTGCAGAGTTACTGTGGTGCGGTGGGAGCAAGATCCCAATGTTGCTTGCTTGCTTGCCACTGCTGCACCTCGCCTCACCCCGGCCTCTCCACCCTGCCCCTGCCTCTCCCCTCTGCCCGCCTTGCTCCTCCCTCTGTCCCTCACCTGCCCCCTGGCCTCCTCCCTCCCTACCATGCCATGCCTGTCGCAGGGCGGGGCCAAGGTGCAGGAGGCCTTCTACATCTTCCAGGAGCTGGGCGACAAGTTCAGCTGGACGGTGCGGCTGCACAACGGGCTGGCCGCCTGCCAGATGCGCATGGGGCGGTGGGAGGATGCCGAGTCGGAGCTGCTGCAGGTGGGTGTGTGGGGGTGTGGGTGGGTGGTGGCTGCAGAGGGCAGTCAAGCAGTCGAAGCATGGCCAGAAAGCGTCTGATCCCCCGCCAGCTCCCCAGAATGCAAGCAGCGTGCTAGCCCCAGCGTCAGCCTCCCCAGCCTGCCGTGCCTGTTTTTTCGCTGCGATGTGGGCTGTGTCGACGCGGTGGCGGCGCTGCCTGCCTGCCCTGCCTGCAGGCGTTTGAGAAGAATCCCAAGGACGGCGACACACTGGCCAACCTGGTGGCCGTCTCCCTGCACCTGGGCAAGTCGGCGGCGCGCTACATGAGCCAGCTGAAGCTGGTGGCGCCCAGCCACGCCATCGTGCAGCGCACCGAGGAGGGGGAGGCTGCCTTCGACCGCGCTGCCTCTGCCATCACCGCGTGACGCACGCCGGCAGCTCCCAGAGATGCATGTGGATGACTCTTTAAGCTGTTAGGATGACGGCAACTCTCCCTTGATTTTTGCTCTCAGCATTGCAAACCACATTTCAAACATGGTATGCACCCAAGCGAAGCGTGTCCTCACCTGGCGTGGCTTGGTTCCTCAGCCTGAGCAGTGCGGCTGTCGAATGCGATGGCTGAAGTCCTCGCCGCAGCCGGAGCTGCAGCAGCTTGCTGCAAGAGCACTGCAGGAGCACTGATAGAGGCAGCCGCCCTTCGCCTGCCAAGAAGCAAGGCGGACAGCGCGCCATGTGCAGCTGCCACAGCACATCAGCTGCACGTGCCATGACTCAGGCGGGGATGCGCAGACAGGCAGAAGAGCAGTAGCCACCACCCGGCCACAAGGAACCCCACGTGCATTGATGATAAAAGAGTCTCTCATGTACAAATTCGAAACGACAGCAGCCAGCAATTGAATGAATAACCAACTTCAGAGCGAAAGGACTCCAAGCAGCAGTCACACGGCGGCGCCACCATCGCCGCCAGGCCTCCTCAGCCCTTCTTCTGCTTGCTGGCGTGCAGGTGCGCAAAGTGCTTCAGCGTGCGCTTCAACGCCTCGTCCACAGGAACCTGTGCAAAGTCGAGCAGGCAGCAGGGCACGGCCAACGATGGTGGGATCGCATGCAATAAGGGAGCAGACGCTGTGTGCCGCAGAACACGCGCTGAGCATGGAGGCATGCAGTGGCCCCTACTCCAGGCGGCACACGCGCCACCCGCAATGCGGCACGTGTCCCCCGCACACACACCAGCACACCTTTGGCGTGTAGCCGAAGTCGCGCCTGGCGGCCGCGCAGGAGAAGGTGCGGTTGGTGGCCGTGATCTTGATGCGGGCGGGCGTGAAGTCAGACTGCATGTCACGCCCCAGCAGGCGGCACAGCGGCACCACCAGCAGCTGCACGATGAGGGCGATGAAGTAGATGAGGCCAAAGGGCAGCCTGCGAGGGATGCACCAGAGGGGAGAGGGCCCGTGAGCACCAGCGCCAGCATGGGTCGCAGCACGGCGGGCAAGCCCTGCACTCCCGAGCCGCTGCCCCGCTGTCGGCAGCGGTGCTGGCGCTGCCACCGACTTGACGTGCGGCCGCGGGTAGCCCATGCCCTCGCAGACGTCGCCCATGAAGCCCCAGAAGGTGCGCGGCTCGTCATTGGTCACAAAGTAGGCCCGCCCGCCCAGCGGGCAGTCGGGCCCTTCCAGCGCCTCGGCCGCCTCGATGTGGGCCTGCAGGTGGGCGAGGTGTGGTGAGGGGCGCCGGTTCCAGCCACGACGCGCAGCAGGTGCGGCCAGCTGGCCAGGAAGCCGGCACGGCAGCAGCGCGGCAAATGCGGCAGCCTCAGCCACCACCCTCCCTGCCCTCTGCCCTGCCGTGTGCTACCGCAACAAAGGCGCTCCCATCCCCACCTGCGCCACGTTGCCCACGTAAGTCCAGTCCATCTCGTTGCGTCCGCTGCCGATGATGTACTTGAGCTTGCCGCGGGCCGCGTTGCGCACCTGCGGGCAGGCAGGGGCAGGCGGATGCAGGCGGGCGCCATGTGTGCCTAGCGAGGGAAGGGCGGCAGCAGCCACCGTGGCACCGTCTGAAAAACAGACCCGCAACACACCCAGCAACACAGCCTCACAGGCAACCAACCCACCGTGGTGGGCACCATGAGCGTGTCGTACTCTCCAAAGATGCCGCTGGGCCTCAGGGAGCAAGTGGCCAGCCCGCCGCGCCCGTTGGCCGCCAGGGCCAGCTTCTCGCCTGCGGGGTCAGGGGCAATCGCCGGAGGCGGCCGGGCAAGAAATGGGTGTCAGTGAGGGTTGGTGTGCAGCGGGCGGCCGGCAGAGCAGCCTGCAGCCGGTGCACACGGAGCAGCAGCGCCCACACCTCCCCATCATCCGCATCCTGGTTCCTGGCCGCTCCAGCTCACCCTCAATCTTGGTGTGGGTGTAGTAGTCAACGGCGGCCCTGGCGGCATACCGCTGGCTCTCGTCAACCAGCACCAGGTCCCGCCCTTCAAACACCACCGAGGCAGACGAGGTGTAGACGAGGCGTGCCACGCCGCCCGCCACGCAGCCGTCAATCACATTCTGCACACGGAACAGAGGGAACGCACGCAGGCAGGCTGATCGACCCTGCTCAGCAGCCAGCCTGGGCTGTGTGCCGGCTGCTGCACGACAGTGCACGTAGCGGCTGCCACCCCTCCCGTCGCAGCCAGATGGTGCCTGTGCTGCTGCCGATGCTGCCACCTGCTCAGTCCATCCCCACCCCTCATCATCCCACCTGCGTGCCACCGACATTGACGTCCCTCATGAGAGCCTCGTTCAGGCTGTTGTGTGCGGTGGGGGCGGCAGTGGCCACATGGAACACTGTGTCCATGCCTGCAGGGGCACCGAATGGCGTGTGGGCGCACAGGGGTGGCCCAGGGTGGCTCAGGGCGGCTGCCATACCCACCAACCACCCCAGACCGACGCGGCTGTGGCACGGCAAGCTGTCCTGGCCACCGGCGGCGGCTGCTCTCACCCTGGCAGGCGTCTGCCACCTGCTGGGCGTTGCGCAGGTCTCCCACAATGTACTTGGCCCACTCCTCGCCCTCCACGGCCCGCACATCAAACACGGTGACATCCCAGCGCCCGCTGTCCAGCAGCTGCGACACGAGGTGGCGCCCCACAAAGCCCGAGCCTCCCGTGACCAGGCACCGCCGCTTGGTGGCAGGCTTGCGCCGGGGGCTGGTCCACACCATGGCTCTAGAGCTGGGGCTGCCTCTAATAACCTAAGCAGCAGCGAAAAGCAGCGCTGCTTGCGTTCCTGCTGCTGCTGCCGCTGCCGCCAGCACAAGGGCTGCTTGCGGCCGATGCCAGGACTAGCTGCAGGCTAAAGGGCCTCAATATTTGCGCTCCCGCTCTTGCTTGAGGAGCTGAAGCGGGTGGGAGGTCCAGGGGAGCAGTCAGCAGAGAGCAGGGCGCCACCGCGCCAGCAGCAACATGATCGGCTGGAAGCACCAACTCCGGGTCCTGCTGCATCGCCCAACGCACCCACCTCTTGGATCTTGTCGTCAGTCACGTCGCTGGGCGGGTACACTACGTAGGACCTCTGCACCGTGAGCGGGAGTTTGGTGCAGCGCTGCCACGAGGAGGAGCAGGGCAGAATGATCGGCAAATGGTGCAGGGAGAACTCACGCTCTTGATGATGGCCTGAAGCACGTCCTCCCTCATCACCACGGCGGCAGTGAGGCAAATTGGAATGGCGACGTAGAGACTGAATTTGAACGCCTGCAGACCAAACCCTGCGAGTCAGTGCAGTTTCCAGTGTGTTACGCAGCTTGTGGGAGACCGCCGCACCTCTAGTTTGCCACTGCCCATGTTGGTCTCGTCACATGCACCAAGGGGAGCTGTTGCTGGGGCGGGGCGGATGTCTGAGACGCTGTTGCGGGCCCCTCCAAAGCGCCTTCGTAGGCCACGAGACAACTCTGCCAATGCCCCGCTGGCAGTGAGTAGGCTCAGAGCCAGGCACAGCTTTGGGCTCTATCACAGCTGTCGGCAGTTGGATCGTTCCCATCGGACTCATGTGCAGCAGCCCACCGTCCCGCTCGCTCTACCTCAACACGACTGCAGACGCAGCAGCCCCTACAAGGCCCACCAGCGCCCCTCCCATGGCGACATCGCAGGAGCTGGGTCCCGAGTACGCCCGGGCGCCCCAGGAACCCGTGGGGCGCACCCCTCGCGGGGCGGAGATTGAAGTGCCTCCGGCACCGCTGGTGCGCCGCCTGTTTTTGCCTTCCCCAGCTGCCGCCCTCCTCCTGCCGCTGTCACATGGGTGTGCATGTAGCTTGGTGTTCGGCGACCGTGACAGAATGCCCCGGCTTGTGGAGTGGCTGGCGCTCAACGGTGCCACCCACCGCGGTGCCGCTCAGCCCGTACCGGCGCTTCCCCCCATGCCTCACCCGCCGCGCTCCGCTGACCGCAGGGCCTGGTGGCGCTGCACAACCTGTGGAAGAAGACCAAGGGCACCCTCAGCATCGACCTGAAGCGCAAGCTGTTCAAGGGCGGGGCGCCAGGGGACACGCTGTGGCGGGTGCAGCCAGACGCCAGCGCACAGCCCAGCGGCAGGCACAGGCACGTCGCTGGCTGGCTGCCGATTGGGGGAGGCGGTGCTTCGGGATGGACACGGCTGCTGCAGGCGTGCCTCGTTGCCCGGGTGCTTGCTACCGGCACTGCCTGGCACAATGTGGATCCGCCGGGGCTGTGCCAGATGCCGGCCTGAACCTGCTCTGCTCTGCCTGCCTGCCGTGCCTGCCTCTTGATGCAGAGGCAGGCCGCCATCCAGGCCGCAGCCGCCGCCGGCATTCTATGGGCAGGCGCCTCCAGGGCCGCCGCCGGGGGCCTACAGCGGCGGTGGGTACGGCGGCGGCTATGGTGGGCCGCGGGGCGGCGGCGCGCCTCTCTATGACCTGCCCAGTGTCGGCTTCATGAACACGGGGGCGCGGGTGAAGGTCTTGCGGCACCTGCAGGTGGGTGGCAGCCTGTGGCGTTGGCGGTGGGGCGGCACCATGGAAGGGGCCACCTGCCCTGGCAAACCGCCCGCGCCCTTGGTGGCGATGCTCCCTGCCCCTGCTGCTGCGGGTTCGTCTTCCTTCCCGCAACGCCTCGCCCTGCCATGCTGTGCCATGGCGCTAATCCACGCCCTGCACGCTGCCTGCCTGCCTGCCTGCCTCAGTTTGGGCCCAAGGTGGAGGTGGAGCGCCCCTCGGGGCTCAAGGGGCAGGTGCCCACCCTCGACTTTGGGTTTGGACTGGCGTTTGAGCTGGATACGGCCGAGCTGCAGCCGCAGGTGGGCGGGTGGGGAGAGGGCAGGCCCTGAGGGAGCTCCGGCTGGCCCCTACACCACACCATGCATGCACTGCCTGCGCCCTGACAGGCCCGCCTCGCCTCATGAATCCCGCCCTGCACCGCGCCCCTGCCTCCCGCCCCAGGTGCGCCTCAAGTTCCGAGACATCCTCTCCATCAAGGCGCTGCCCTACCCCGCACTCAAGATCCAGAAGCGCCTGGCACTGCCCGAGGGCAGCTGGGGCGTGCGGCTCAGGTGCGGCCGGGCGGGGGATGGGCCTCAGCAGCGACAGCGTGCAGGCGCTGGGCTTCCCCCTCACCCCACGTGCCTGCTGCCCTCCCTGCGCCCAGCTACGAGTGCCCGCTGGAGGGAATAACCACCTTCTATCAACCTCCAGCCCGCCTGCTGATGTCCATTGATAACATGCAGCACAACGGGGTGCAGCTGACGCAGGTGTTCACCTGGCTGGCCTGCCTGGGTGCATTGGCGGGCTCCTTAACGGTTGAGACCTCTTGGCAACCCAGCCACAACGTGACTTCCACAGCACCCATTCTGCCCCTCTTCACAGGCTGGCCTGGAGTTCAATTACGCCGGCGACTTTTATGAGGGCAACACACAACTGCGAGCGGCAGGCCTGGTTGCGCTGTGAGTTTATTGCCGCAGTGTATTGCCGCTGCATGTGCGGCACGGGGAGGGGATGTATGGGGAGGATCTGCTAGTTCATGCTGCGCCTCATTGGCGGCCCTGCCTGCCGTGCTGTGCCCTGCCACAGGCCCCGCGAGCTGCCCATTGTGGAGGGGCAGCCGATGGTGGGGCTGGAACTGAAGCGGCTGGGCCTGAAGGCGGCCTGGTGACGGCAGCGCTTGTGCAACAGCAGCCCCCGCACTGACCACCCCTGATTGCAGCAGACACAGATGCATGGCATTTTTGTACTGCCTTTTCTGATCCTCACTCTGTTGCTTGTGCCTCAGCTGTTTTCCCACACATTTGAACATCCGCACTTGCGGACCGCTTCACATCTGTTTACATCACCCGGCCGGGCCAACAGCGCAGAGGCTGGTGAAATGTTGGAATGAGTGTATCTTGAATGAATAGGGGGCAACAGGCGAGTTCAAAAGACCCGGTCACTTGCCAGAGTGACGCATCAAAAGCCAAGGGGTGGAGGGGAGCAGGGTTGCAGGAAAATCAAGTACGGCAAGAGTGCTTGTCCTTGTGAAAAAGATAGTGACGCTGCACCACAGGCGCTTGGGACCTGGTCCCAGCGAGATGATGCTTCAAGCTGGAGCAATTCCGCTCAAAATGGGGAACAGCAGGCCCACGAGTATGCCCAGCACCATGCCGGCACACACCTGCAGAGCCAGAGAGCGGCAGCTGGCATGCTGGGCCCTCGCACAAGGCATGGCAACCATCCATACAAGCGCAAGCATCCCGTCTGTTGGGCTCCCAGAGGCTGCATGCCGCCGGGTCCTCACAGCGTGCGCCCTGGCGGCCACCCCATCCACCCACCTGCCGCGGCGTGTGGCCCAGCACCTCCTTGAGCTTGCGTGCGCTCATGGGGTGCCCCTCCAGCACCTCCCCCACCACCACATTCAGCAGCTCCGCCTGCAGGCCTGCGTGCCGACGGATGCCCATCGCATCGTACATCACAATCACGCTGCAGGACAGGAGGGGCAGGGAGGGGAGCGCGGAGGAGTGAGGGAAGGGCCAAGCCAGCCACTGCTGGTGCGGGGCGCCTGTGGTTGCCTGCCAGTGCTGCTCGGCGCCGCCGGGGCAGTTTGCATAGCAGAGAACGGGATGGCAGCGGGCATGGCCGGCGTGGGCGTGCCTGAAGCAGACGGCGACGGCGAAGAGCGGGCTGCCCAGGCCCTGCTGCATGGCGATGGCGGTGGTGACGGAAGAGCAGAGGGCGGAGTGGGAGGAGGGCATGCCGCCGGAGTCGAAGAAAGCGCGGGCATCCCACACCCCCGTCTTGTAGCGCTTGGTGAAGATCTTGAGGAATTGGGCCAGAAACCAGCCGCAGAAGCCGACGCAGAAGACATAGTTGGAGGCGAGGTCCGCCCACACGCTGCTGGCGCTGCTGCGCAAGGGCCCTGCCGCCGCTGCCGCGCACAGCAGCAAGCTGCCCAGCTGCTGCTGGTTGCCGCCGAGCAGCCTGTGGCGGGATGGAAGGGAGGGGAAGGTAGTCGCAACAAGGACAGCCTCTGTAAGGAGCGGGCCACCGCACTGTTGACAAGCTGGCGGCGGCGGCCGGCACCCTACCTGCACAGCGTGTCGCTGGCCGCCGCTCGCTGCTCCCTGATCGCTGCTGCCGCTTGCTGCACCGTTGTCGCTAGCTGCCGGGCCACAGAGGGCCTGGGCGAGCTGCCGGGCTGCAAGGTGCTGTCAGTGGTGCAGCTGCTACTGCACTGGGCCCGACATCTACGAAACCGCAATGCCGCGGATGTGAGGGGCCGGCTGCAGGAGGGCCCCGCAAAGCAGGTCCGCTGCGACAGCGCCATCTCCCGAGGTGTGCCTTCAGAGGCTGGCTGGTGAGGATCAAGCTTGGGGACAATGCCTGGCAACGATAATGAGGCGTTAGTGAGCATTCCAATCCCTGCTGCGCGAAATCCTGCCAGCAGAGCGCAGGATTGGGGCCTCGGCTGGTCGCCCCCATGCCCCAATTGACTGCTCCCCGCTGCCACCGGATTCACCATGCAGTCCTTAGCTTGCACACTCGCGCCAGCGGCAGCGGGGCTGCAGCACTGCACAGCCCACCGACCGGCCCTGGCCAGCAGCAGCCGCCCTTTCACCACACAGCTGCCGCAGCGCCGCAGTTGGCAGCATGTGACGCGGGCAGAGGACGACAGCAGCAGCGAGCCGGCCGCCCAGCAGGTAGGCGCCGCCGCCACCCGCCACCTCTCGTCTGCTACCCGCCCGGTTTATAGTTGTTCTGTTGGCCTGTCTGCTCCGCATGAGAGACCCTTGCTTTCACCTTACCTATCACAGGCAGCGCCGCCACCAGCCCCGCAGCAGCAGCAGCAGCAGCAAGAGGAGGAGCCCATTTGGGTTCGCCGCGAGCGCGAGCGGCAGCTGCAGAAGGAGGAGGGCGGCAGCTTCGACCTGCCCTTCGGCGCCTACCTCCTCTTCTCCTCCTTCACCGCCATCGCAGCGGTGAGCGCGTTGTGGCGGTCGGCCCATCTCGACGCCTGCCTGGCCACTGGTGGCACCAGCACCCCGCACTACACCGCGGGCCGTAACCGTAGGCAGGCTCGCCTACGTTGATTGCCTTGCCGTGCCTGCCCCGCAGGTGGGCTCCATCTTCGAGTACGCCAACCAGCGCCCCGTGTTTGACGTCATCCAGCCCGACTCCCCGCTCTACACACCCATCCTGGGCTTCTTCGCCATCACCGGCCTCCCCACCTCCGCCTTCCTGTTCTTCAAGGCGGTGCAGAGCGCCAACAAGGAGGCGGAGCGCATGGACAAGCTGGACGGCTACTGAGTGGCGCCAGGCAGGGACCGGCGGTGCAGGCCAGGTGGCCAGCGGGGCTGCCGCCATCCCAATTCCGCCACGGCCGGCTGGGTCCCACCTCACGCACTCGTACCACTTTCTTGGTTTCGCTCTCTGATCTGATCTCGGCGGATTGTAACAGTTGCTTTTCTCAGCAGCAGCAGACATCAAAGTACATGTGATGGCTCACACTATGGTGACCAAACAAGCCGGGGATCTCTTCTCTAAACGTGCATCCTCACAGGCTAAGCCGCCGCTGTGTAGCCAGGGATGCCACCGGCGCAGCTGGGGCCAGCGTTGGCTGCTCGTGGGCTGCCACGGCTGCCTCTGCCGCGCCTGCGACGGCTGCAGCCACGCCTCCAGAGGCTGGCGCTGCATCGGTGCTGTCCTGCTGCGGCGAGTCGGTGCCAATGCGCTGGCGCTTGGTCGGCGGGTGCCTGCCCTCCGCCTTGCTCTCCTCGCTCTCGCTCTCCCGCTTGCAGCCCAGCTCGGCGCCGCTGTGCTGCGCCTGCGCGCCGGCCCCATCCTGCTGCTGATGCTCCTGGCTGGCGGTGTCGCTGGGCGGCTGCGCGGGCGCAGCCTGCCTCTGCTGCTGCCCACCGGCCCGGGCAGCCGCTGTCGCAGCACCCACAGCCGCCGCCTGGTACTCCTCTTCTGCCAGCTGCGCCAGGTCAGCAAGGTCGCTCTTCTGCTTGACCAGCGAGCCGCCCGGTGCCACTGCCGCTGCCACCCCTGCTGCCGCCTCGCCGCCCGGCGGACAGGCCGAGTAGTGGCTGGAGAGGTTGGAGGTGAGGCGCGCCAGGGGCTGGGGCTGCTGCTGCCCCTGCTCCGCCTCCTCCCGGCACACGGCCATGAGGGCTGCGGCGCGCGGGCTGCTCAATGGGCTGCCTGCTGCTGCCGGCGCTGGGCCGGGCACCGGTGTGGCTCCCAGGGCCACCATGTTGGCACTCACTTCTGAGGCCCAGTGCACCAGGCCCGCATGCAGGTGCTCCACATTGCTGCCGGTCTTGGCCAGCCAGCCACCTCCATTCACGGCCGCATGGTGCTGCTGCGGCGCCGCGTCAAACAGCGGCGGCGGCTGCTTGGGCGGCGAGTGGTGGCCCGAGCCGCGGCGCTGCCCGGCGCGGCCCGTGCTGCGGGTGGCGCCGCCGCTGCCCGGCGCCGGGCACAGGTGCTGCTGGAAGAGCGCTGCCGCGGGGTCCCACAGGTGCGAATCGGCGGCCATGGCTGGGAAGGAGAGGGACTTGGGGGCCTGAAACAGCGGAAAGAAAGATGCGGCTCAAGAGGCGGGCTGAGAGGCGGGGACGGGTGTGGGCGGTGTGATCGGGCGTATGGGCGGCTGGCACCCACTTGGCGCACCTCCTTCACAGGCGTGCCCAGCTGCTGCTCCGTAGCAGACGCGGGCAGCCGCAGCGGCAGGGGGATGGTGTGGAGCACCGGAAGCGGCCCGAAACCTGCAGCAGGGTGGGCGGCCGAGCGGTGGTGGCGGGCATGTCGGGCATGCACCCACACATCGCCCGAAGCGCCTCCTCACGGCGATCACGCACCAGTCTGGACATGGGTCAGCGACTGGTTCAGCGAAGCGCACGCGGCCTGGCAAGCGTGCAGAAACGAGTAGACCGCGTGAGCGCAGAGCTGAGCTCCCTCAGCCAGCTGCCTCTCTCTCTCTGGTTCAAGCATCACTGCGACGCTGCTTTCAAGGGCGCTTGTGTGGGAGGTGGGTGGGAGCCTGGGAGGTGGGGGACTTGAAGGCTTTCGCGGCTCAAGACGCAAAAGAGGGGCATGCAGGCGACTAGTGAAGTGCCACAAGCCGGGGTGCCGGGGCCGGCATGAGGGCCGCCGCAGCGCGCCGCCTGGCGGCTGCCAACGAGGCGGCGCCTCCAGAACCTCTACTCTCGTCATAGCATCTAGTCTCGTCATAGAGCCAGCAGGAGCTGCTGCGCAGTTTCACGACCATGGGTGCCCTGTTTGGCAAACTGCTGGCAGCGGTGCGCTGGGCCAAGCTGAAGCTGACTTTCACAAGGCATCACGCCCGCTGGGGAGCCCAGGAATGTGCTGCTGTGGCGCGTGGTGTCCTGTGGAGCGCATGGTGTGCACTGCAGCGCTTGGGTCGGTGGCGCTCGGCCGTCTTCCTTCACGGCAACTCGTCCCTTGTATGCTGACGCAGGTGGCGGCGGCCGTGCTGCTCATAATGGCCGCATGGAGCTACCCACCTGCTTGGGACACCTTTTCGCTGGACCCAAACTTTGTCAACCCGCAGGCAAGCAGCTTGTTCGCGTATAGCCCCACTGCCTGCTCCCTGGATGCACCACACTGCCTGCCACTCAAGCCTGCCCCATCCAGCTAATCGTGATATATACTTCCGTCATGCTTCTGGCTCGCAATATGGCCTCCAAGCCCGCCACCTTGCTCGTGCTGCACCTGGTGCCAGCTGCGGCGCTGGGCGCCAGCCTGGCGCTGGCGGTGGAGTATTTGACGCTGGCCGCCTGCGGCGGATATTCAGATAGCGTCACCAAGGCAAGGGCATGCATGCCTGATGCAAGTGCGGCGATTCCTTTTTAATGGTGGCACAACGCTATACATCACGCCTGCCTTGCTTTGCGACATGGCTGTGCAGGCAGCTGTGCTGTTGGCGCTCAGCAGCCCCGTCGCCTTCTGCCTCACCATCCAGCGCTTCTCCTCGCCAGAGTGGAGATTCCCCATGCTCTTTGCTTCCATGGTTTTCACGCTGACCGTCTGTGGAAGCTACCATGCGCCTGGGGGCCAGCTCTGGAAGTTTCCCCTGTATCTTGTCATGTATGCTTCCTTCTCGGGAATTGTTGCCGTGCTAGCATCCGAGCTGGTGACTCCCACACCCGCAGGCAAGCTAAGTTTTGCCTGCCGGCTGCTGGGCAGCCGGGCGACGGCCTTTCCCTACCAACGGGAGCAGGTGCAACAAGGACGCCCTGCGCCTTGCCCTGCGACCGTGCAGGCTTGTTGGCGCGGCGGCAGCTGGCGGCAGCCCTGCGGGGCACCGGGGAGCTCATGCACCAGGCGGTGGACTTGCTGAGCGGCGATGTGGATGTGCATGGCAGGCTGGTGCTGGCCAGCGGCAAGCCTCAAGGCCAGCTCAGCATCGACTCGGGCCTCTACTCCCGTATCTGGCCGCTGCACCAAAAGTCGAGCGCCGCAGGCACGGCCTGCCATGTGAGTTGCCGAGACTGCTGGACCACAGCTGTCAGCCAGTCGTGCTGTCGCCATCCAACAGCAGCATTGCAAGGGCCCGTGTGCTGCGTCACGTGCCTGCCTGGTGTGCTTGCTGCCCTTGCACAGGCTGCCACCACGTTTGTGTCGTCGGCTCGCTGGGAGGTTGACGTGTACCGAAAAACCCACCTCCTGCCCTTCGTGCCCTTTTTCAAGCTGTCTGTGCTGGCTCGCTCCCTGCTCAGGCAAGTAAGCCATCAAGCCCGCTGCGCTGCTGATCAATCCTTCTGCTTGCCATTGAAATGGAGGCCGAATGGTGGCCAAAGCTTGCTGAGATGCAGTGCCACCAGCATGTTGCTCTACCCGCTCCAGTCGGGAACGCTGAATGCTGCGCTGTGCCACCACCACCGCGAGCAGCTGCTGGCCGTGGCAACGGCCTTCCAGGCCTGCTGCTCTGCGGTGGCCGGCAGTCTGGAGAGCAACGAACCCATCGGCCACGCCCTGCAGGCAAGGAAGGATGGTGCAAAAGGGGGGCAGACGACAGGCCGCTCTGCGTCCGACATGTCGGCCTGTGCGTCATTTGGTACTTGGTGCAGGCCCTGGAGCAGCTGCACATCCAATTCCTGCGCCTGGGAGAGGCAGCTGCCAGCACCGCAGATGAGCTCCGGTCAGAGCCGCGCACCCTGACGTTCAGCACATTCTTCTCTCTCATCTTCTCGGCTGCGGCAAGGGTGGGAACGTGGAGTGGCAGAGGACATGCTGCCTGTGCCTTGCGCGTAGTGCCTGTTCGACTCCCGGCAGCCATTCATCGTCATCTGGGTCGGCGCCCTCCCTGCTCTGCAGCTGCGCAAGTGCTACCGCGTTTTGCCCGCCGCGCTGGCCCGTGACCAGCCGCGTGGCGCTGCCGAGGCCCAGGCCTGCTTTGAACGGCTTCCAGACTGGGACGCCCAGCTGCTAGCCAGCCTGGAGCTGCGGGGCCAGGTAACGAGGACCCCTGATTCCACGTGCATCATCACGACGTCAAGATGGTGTTCATATTCTGATGCACCCCATGCTGTGTGGATGTAGGATCATGGCCGGGATAGCATGGCGGTGCTGCGGGACTCCATCGTCAGCATCGACAGCAGCAGCGGCAGCAGCGGCAGCAGCTCGCGGTTGCCTGAGGTGCGTGCTGTGCGGGGCACATCCGGGGAGTTGGAGGTTCTGATGGAGGAAGCTGTGCACCTGCCTGGTGAGTCAAATGCATGGAGCCGGCAGGAAAGGGGTGCCCGGTTAACTTCCTTGCTGGTTCCACCTCCTGCCACACTGCTGTTGGCCAGCCCCAATGTCTGAAGCTACCTGCGGGCATGCCCTGGTCTCTGCAGCGGACCAGAAGCGGGAGCTGCTGGCACGCCTCTCGCAGCGCACAATCACGGCAGCCAAGCCGCACCCGGCGCGGCAGCATCCCGCGGGCGTCGCCTGGCTGCGGCGCGGCTGGCGCTGGCTGCTGCGGGTGGCTCCTGCCAGCGAACAGCAGCTTCGGCTGGCCCTGCAGTTCACCGCCTGCTTCCTGGCGGTGATGTTTCTACAGATTGCTGCCGAGTCTTACACTGCTCTGGCAGGACGACCCGTCTGGGCGGTACGTTCTGCTGCATTACCTGCTGTCGTTGATGGCGTAACCTGTCCTTTGCTACTTGAGCTGGTGCAGATGATCGTGGTGACGGTTCTGTTCGAGGCCTCTGCCGGCAGCAGCATAAAGAAGGGCCTGCTGCGCTTGGCGGGCACGCTGGGGGGCGCAGCAGTGGGCCTGGCAATTCTCTTCTTCGTCGTGCTTTGCACCGGTCTGAGCCACGCCAACCACCCGCAGGCATGGCTCCCTGTCAGGCACAGCTTGTCTGCGTGCTTGTCCAGTTGTACACGGGTTGATACCCCTCCATCCCTCTTCTCCCCTGCAAGCAGAAATTTATTCTGTCCTCTGTTCTGCTGGCACTGGCATGTGGCATTGCTGGAGCTGCTGCGGCCCGCACTCCCTCCCACACCTACATGCAGGCAGGCGTGGGTTATGCAGGGCTGCACCCTGGTATTCCAGCAGGTTCTCAATTCGTGTACCCTGCTGACTGCAGATAACGTTCTGCATCACCGTGACCGCCGTCGCTCTGGTGGCATACACTCAGGATGCTGTGCTGTGGAATCTGGTCAGACAAGCCACATTTGGAGGCCTTTGTTTGTCAGCTAGGCCATGAACTTGATCCTCTTCCTGCCCTCCTGCAGGCGCTCTGGCGGGTTGCGATGACGGGTGTGGGGATTGCCATTCAGTTCCTGGCCGTCACTCTCCTCTTCCCCGTCACCAGCCACTCCATCCTGCGACAACAGATGGCGGTGGCGCTGGGCCAGCTGGCAAGCGCTGCCGAGGAAACCATCGGCGAGATCATCCCTGGCAGTGGCAGGGAGGGGAGCGGGCACCCATGCAGCAAAGGGAGCAGCCGAGGCGCCTCTGGCATCGCCGCCGGCAACCAAACAGTGGTAGCTGAGGGCCACGTCCCTCGTCGACGCCAGCAGGAGGCGCCCGGCATTCAAGGCTCAACAGTAGCAGATGCCGCGGAGGCTGTGCCTGCCGATGCAGAGGCCAGCCCCTTCCAGCAGGTGCAGCAGAGTCCTCCACTGGAGGCACCAGCAACAGACGTGGAGGCTCCCTCCACACCGCACAGGCCGGTTGAGGGCACAGCAGGCACAGCAGGGCTGCCGCAGCGCCACACCAGCATGCGGCGGCTGCAGCTGGGGCAGCAGCCCTCGCTCGTCGTCCTGCCCCCCGACCCCGCAGCGATGAGCGGCGGCAGCCGCAAGGCCGTGCAGAGAGCTGTGCGCCAGCTGAAGGCGCCGGTGGGGCCGTCGATCGTGGCGGATTGCGAGCACCTGCTGGGCCCCATGTACACCCGCCTGCTGTTCCGGGCGTGGCAGGTGCGTGCCTGGGGCAAGGGCTCCTGCCTGAGGCAGCCAGGACTGGAGGCCGTCTCCCTCCTCCCTGCCTGCCGTGATCCGCCAGTACTGCCTCCTGCAGGCCAA